GCGAACCATCTCCCGAATATTCTCTCCCAGAAGCAATTCCGGTCGAACGAGTTTATTCTTCTGACCTTAATACTTATCTCGGACAACATGTTATAACTGAAACCGAGACTTATGATCCTGATCTTTCTTGCCAAGATTTACAAATGGCGATGGAAACTGTTGGGGAATCCCCCAATTATCCAGTTGATGTTACAACCGGAAATCTTGCTCCTTGGTATCTGGAGGAAATTCAGAATTTCCAACCGGATCAAGTTGAGTTAGTACTGATTCGTGTCAACATTCCCGGATCTAATTCATGCCAATGTTCTATTTGTCGCCGAACAGCCACAACTTGCAACCTGCTGGAGGTTTCCCTTCGGGAATCCAAGCAACGGGAGTACTCGGACTCTCATCCGAGGAAGATTTCCCTTCCCCCTGCTGAGCAGGACGGGTCATGTGCGAGTGGTTCCCTCGAACCCTCAGTATGAATGGGAAATTCTGTTTTGGCTGGCGAGAACTTGGTGGAGAACCAGAATGTTAAGGATAATGGCACTGCATCTGAGACGCAACAACGGACTTTTGATCTCTCTTCCCCTCGACTTCAAGGACAGAATAGTAGAGATGGAGAATCTCTGACAATCCGTACTTGTAAAAGCCGCTAAAAAGCGTGCTAAGCCAATGTCCTTATCTCAATTTCACGAATCTGTGCCAGATAAACCTGTTGTAAAACCTTTTCGTATAAAGCATAATCCAGACATCGAATATGATCCAAACGAATCTGCATCTGGGTATTTACCCATGCAATTCGATGGACATGCTTTCGATTCTTATGACTTGTACCCCTTGGGTGTGCTACTGTCATATGCGAATCTAAAAAAGAACCTTCCAAAGGGTGAGTTTTTGTGGATGTTGGATTCTGGAGCATCACATCATGTGACTCCTTTTAAAACTGATTTCTTGACCTATTGAGAATTTAAAAATCAACCTTTGGCCTCTACTGCAGGCACCAAAAAAGGTTCAACTTCTCGGTCAAGGAACAGTGGTTATTTGCCTGGAAAATGGCAGTAACCTGCCACTACATAATGTTGTTTACAGTCCTTTGCTTTCAAAGCGACTATGTTCTCGAAATGCACTCCTAAATAACGGATATCGGAGCACCGCGACACTTACTGGCGAGACTATCAGAGCACCAAATGGCCAGATTGTCCTTGAAGCAAAAGTGGCTTCACTGACTTCACCTCTTCATTGGTTTGTGGGCGTACCACTTCCACCTACCACTGCTTTTGGGGTCCTTTGCCCTTTGGTCAAGGAAACACAAGAGTCTCTCTGGCATAATTGCATGTGTCACCCTGCCAATACAGTTCTCAGACATATTCGCAGATTAGGCCTTAAACAAGATATCACATTACAGGGGGAGACTACCTCTTGCAAAGGTTGCGCACAGGGCAAACTTTCTTCTGAAGCCTTTAAACCTTCTTGGAAGCGAGCAACTAAACCTCTCGAGTTGGTCCATGCTGACCTTCTTGAATTACCTGTCGAATCTTATTTTCGGTCCAAATATATCTTAACCCTCTTGGATGACTATTCGTCCTACGGTTTCTGTCTATACCTTCGCAACAAATCCGACACTTATACTGCTTTTGCCAATTGGATGGTGTCTATGCAAAATACTACTGGGCATCCTCTTCTTGCACTCCGTTCGGATCGAGGGGGAGAGTTTATGGGTTCTACTTTCAAAGCGCTCCTTTCTTCGCACAGCATTACCCATCAATTGTCTATTGCCGACCAACCTCAACAAAATGGTCGTGCAGAACGCTTTAATTGGACTATTTCCGAAAAAGCTGGGACCATTTGACATCATGCTTGTGTTCCAAAACGCTTCTGGAACTTTGCCTTTGATTGTGCACTACATGTGTACAACCGAACTCCTCTCAAAAGGATTCAATTCAAGACTCCAGTTGAGCTTTTCCTAGGAAAAATTCCGGATGTCACATACTTTCGCACCTTTGGCTGCAAAGCTTTTGTATGGGTTCCGAAAGAACAAAGAAAAGACAAATTGGAACCTCATGCAGTCGAAATGATTTTCTTAGGCTACGAGCCTAATACAAAAGGATATCGGTTCCTACACGGACAGAAGATTATTCTTTCTCGTACTGCAAAATTCGTAGAAGACTTTTTTCCTTTTTGCTCTGGTCAAAACAAATCCGAAACCTTTGACCCCGATACCGAAGACGACCATGAATCATCAGTTTCCGATACTGAAAGCCTACATTCACTTCCGGATCCTGATCAGATCCAACCGCCGCCTCATCACCAGCAACCACCAAATCGTCCTAATACTCCACCACAACAAAACCCACAGCAGAGAGCTGCGGACCAGCCTAGAGCTCAACAACAAAGAAGAGCACCTGCTGCTGCACCATCAGTCGACCCTCGTCATCTAAGGCATCCTCATCAACCTGAATTTATTCAAGGAGACTCACACAATGTTCGCAGAGCTCATCCTCCTGCCAATAACAGAGAACCTCGTCCTAAGCGTCGATATATACCAGTATCTTGTCCTGGGAATCTCTATGGAGACAGACCCCCAGTTGAAATCGAACAAGATATACAAAGAAATCGGGATTTAGCACAACAGTGGATTCGTAATGCTGAGCAACATGCTCGCAATTCCAGAGAAGATATTCGGAGATATGCAGAAGAAAGAAGACCTCCTTCTCCGAGGCTACCTCCTGCTATGATTCCTCCTGAAGTTCCTCATCAGTGGACTGAACATCCACAAGGAACTACTCCTTCATCTCCTGGATCACCACTTACTCCACTACCGGATACTCCTTCCTCACCTAAAGGCATGCCAGACCAACATGCTCAAATGCCTGGTCCTGATATGCATTCTTTCGAGTTTGCATTAGCAGCCAGGGTGAAGGAATCTCCAGAACATTATAAAGATGTGCTAAGGTTATCTCCCGACTTACAAAAGAAATGGTTCGATGCTATGAAAGACGAATTAAAGTCTATTGAAGAAAGACAAGTTTGGACTTTGGTGGATCCTCCTAAAAATCGGAAACCTGTAAAGTGTCGATGGGTTTTCGCTATTAAAAGTGATGGTCGTTACAAAGCTTGTCTTGTGGCAAAAGGCTTTACACAAGAATTTGGTACCGACTTTGAAGATACCTTCTCTCCAGTGGCTCGCTTTGAAACAGTTCGCATTCTACTCGCATTTGCTGCCCAAAGAAATTGGGACACAGAAGCCCTGGATGTTAAAACTGCCTTTCTATATGGCAACCTTGATGAAGAAATTTATATGGAGCAACCAGAAGGTTTCAAAGTTTCGGGTCAAGAACACAAGGTTTATCGGTTGCTTAAAGCCTTGTATGGCTTAAAGCAAGCTGCACTGGCATGGAATAAAGCCCTTCATCAATCTTTACTCGCTATGGGCTATATTCGATCCAAAGTGGATGCTGGGATTTATATCCATATATCCAAAGCTGGAATCGTCATCTTTCTCATCTATGTCGACGATGGACTCTTTCTAGGATCGGACAAACGTCTTCTTAAAGCCAAGAAAGAACAATTTATGAAGAAATGGGAATCCAGAGATCTTGGTGAAGTCAAGGAATATCTTGGCATTCAAATTCACCGAGATAGATCGAAGAAAGAAATTTATCTCGATCAAATACCTTATGTCAAAAAGGTTATTAAAAGGTTTAACATGGAGACTGCTCGAAATGTTCACACTCCATTACCCTCTGGATATCAACCGGAAAAAGCACCATCAGATTACCAAGCCACATCCTCTCTTCAGTCACAGTACCAATCAATCATAGGGTCATTACTCTATATGGCTCTCGGTACTCGTCCTGATATCACCTATGCGGTTATTCGCATGTCACAATATATGGCAAATCCTACCGAAGATCATCGAAATAAAGCCTTGCATATAGTTCGCTATATTGCATCTACTCCAAAATTGGCTTTATACTATTCGGGAAATGAATCTCGAATCTATGGTTTTGCAGACTCTGATTGGGCTTCAAATAAAGACACTCGTCATTCGACTACCGGTTATGCCATGTATCTTGGCAATTCCCTTATATCTTGGCGATCTCGAAAACAGAAGACTATCGCACTCTCTTCCACTGAAGCTGAGTATATGGCTTTATGTGACTCTGCCAGACAAATCAAATGGCTCTCAATGCTATTTGATGAACTTAACTTGAAGACCGAGAAAACTATTCTCTACTGCGATAATATGGGAGCTTGCTTCATTGCAGAGAATCCTGTATCGGATGGTCGTTCAAAGCATATTGACATCCAATGGCACTTCGTTCGCAAATGTGTTCAAGATAATTTGTTCAGTATTGAATACGTTCAAACTGACAAACAAAAAGCAGATGGTCTTACAAAATCATTAACTTGGCAGAAGTTCGAAACTAATTGCTCGTCAATGGGTCTTGTGACCTTACCATTTTAGAGCGAGGGGGAGTGTTGGAAATATCCGTAATAGTTCCGACGTCTAGATTGATCCAGACTTACACGTGTATCAACACGTTGTTCATCACATGACAATCCTTAGCAATCAGCTCCACAATGATGTCATGGTGACATCATATTATACGTCATATTCCATGACCTTCTGCACTATTCCTTACTATACTGAGTAGTAGTTTCCTTTTACGCTACTGGTCCGTGCGTACCTACTCATGTATATAAACTTGGGGATTTCTTCCTCAATCCCCATCGAATTCTACATTTGTTCTTCACTTGTCTATTCGACAACTGAGCCCCTCAACGCTTAACAAAGCTTTTCATCAAACGCTACTACCGTTCTGAATAAAGGCAAGTGTTCTTGCCATTGCTCTTCGTTCTTTCCGTTCCTCTGCGCAATAGGGTGGTTGTTCCACAAACTGTTATCATTCCCACTGAAGTTGCTCAAACAGGTGTGCCCTATTGGTTAGGGGAAAAAGTTGCATTCCTGTACTGACCAGTGTCATGTAACTTGTTCTTGTTCTGTGCAGGCAATGCAGATGATCATGTTCCTGCACCAGTTGTTACTGATACTGCTATTTCTCCACCTACTGGAGCCACCTGTCCAAGTTCTTCTGCACCCTCTACGAGAGTCTCTATTCCTGGGCTAATGGACATTACCACTTGTGCATATTTTCCCCAAGGTGATGAGGATGATGCCCCTTTATCAAGTGAAGGAATACCCAAGGGCATGTGTTTTACCTGTGATGATAGGCAAAGTCTAATATCAGTGACCAGTGACAGCTCCTACTTACTGCCTAAATCCCACCCAAGCTAGGGAGCATGTCAATCACATTGATCGTTTTTGTATCTTTGTCATGGGCAGAGCAAATGCAGGTAAAACAACTATCTTGCAGAGGCTCTGCAACTCTATGGATCAACCAGAAATTTTTGATGGCAATGGAAGGAAGGTATGTGAAATGTGCTATAATTCTTCATGCCTGTTCAAAGTACTTGGATATGTTCAGGTTGATGCTGGTGCATTTCAAGGTTCATTGAGGGTAAGATTATGCCCTAGGGTTGCATGTAACTTGTAATTGATGTGTATTCAGCATGGGGACCACAGGATTGAGTATGAACTGGCATTCAAGAGTGATCCTCACTATGTGTTTCATGATTCCTGTGGTTTTGAAGCTGGCAGTGAGGAGCAGTTCAACATGAAGAAATTTGTGATAGATCATGCCAACATGCCCAAGCTGGAGAAATGGATTCATGCTATCTGGTAAGAATGCCATGATTGATGTGCTAAGTGGAGTGGAGTGTTCCTTATGAATGATGATTTAGGTTTTGCATTCTATTGAGTGAGGGCCACAGGATGATCACTATAGCTGAGAGGAATTTTTTTGATGAATGTGACACAGGCCATGGTATGTCTATACCATGTTGTGATATGCACATGGGTGTGGGATTGAGGGTTTACATAGTGCCAGTAATAGTGTTGTTGATGAAGGCAGGCACTTTGGAGGTTGAGGCAATTCAGGAGATGGAGGAGCAACAATTGGGGGTGAATGAAGAGATTGCTGCTATAGAACAAAGGATGTTGGATGAGAATCTGGTAAAGGTCAAGAGGTGGTTGAATGAGTTGAGGTTCCCACCCCATGACTTTCTGCCATTGAGAGGGAAGTGCTCTACCATAGCCATGATATGTGGCAGACCTAGTCAAAGGGCACTGCAGGGATGCAACAAGAAGGTGCAGATTGTATTGACCTACTGAAATGTACAGTGAATGCTCTGAAAGAAGAAAGCTTGCAAATGCTTCTGATATCAACACAGCAGTCCAGCATAGCACTATGTATTGAATTTGCCATAAAGAGTTAAGCATAACAATTGCAGCTGTGACATGTATTGACAATATGAAGAGGATTGAAGATGTACATGAAGTGGGGATTGGATCATCATGAGCCAACAAAAGTGGCAGCTGTTCCAGTAAGTCAGTTTCCATATGTATGCATTAGGAGTTGCATGGTTGGAGATGATTGTATGCTGACTGCCATCTGTTGGGGTGGTGATAGTATGTTAGTGGAATCATGAGTGGTAGTGGGTGCAGGCTGATGATGTTTGCTCTCACCCATGTGAACAAGAGAAGTGAAAAGCCTACCAGTCATTACAGTACTGTACAGGGTTTTACAGTGACTTCCAAAATTGATTCAATGTTTGCACATTTTGGGTTGTTTGTTGAATTGATCAGGAACAAAGACAAATAAGACCAAAGTGTAAGTTGATGACATAAACCACTTGCACAGGGCTATCCATCAAAAAAAAGATTATGTAATTTGAATTAGTATCCATGGCAATATACTTGATTTAAATCACCATGTCATTGAATCAATTTTGTAACTATGTATTGGATCCATCAGAATCCAACCAATATCACATAAAACAATTTCAAAAATCATCAAAGATGGTTGCTATGGTTATTGTACCTTAGCAACCATTTCAGTTCAAGCTATTTAACCACTGTCTATGTTGTCAATGCTTCCTAACTATACTATGCACCCCATCTCCTCTGCTCAGAAGGCAAACATCATTTCTCTGGCCTGTAATGGTCATTCTACTTGCACTATTGCCTCCAGGCTGGGTATCAGCCAGTCTACAGTCTCCAGGGTGCTCAAGAACCTTCTTCTGGATGTCCTGCTAAGCTTTCATCCACCTCTCAACATGCTATTATTACACAAATCACCACAGGCAAGGCCACCAATGCTGTTGAGATTACAAAGAACATCAATTCCATAATCTCCAATCCAGTCTCCTCACAAACAGTCAGAAGGGTCCTCAGAAAACATTCATTCAAGGCTGTAACAAAGAAAAAAAACCACTCCTTTCTATAACTCACAGGAAGAAGTGATTAGCCTTTGCTCTGAAATACAAAGAATGGACTGTGGAGGACTGGAGAAGGGTTATCTGGTCAGACAAGACCAAAATCAATAGGATTGGGTCAGATGGGAAGGTTTGGGTGTGGAAACAGGCAGGAGAGGGGCTTATTGAGAGAGAGATACAGGGAACAGTCAAGCATGGAGGAGGAAACATTATGGTATGGGGATGTATGGGCTGGGAAGGTGTTGGCCACCTTGCAGAGATTGAGGGGAGGATGGATGCCAACCAATATGTGGACATTTTGGAGAGCCAGTTGCTTCCTAGCTTGGGAGATTCTGGAATTCCTTTGAAGGATGTTATCTTTCAACAGGACAATGACCCAAAACATACCTCCAAAAAGGCCAAGAAGTGGTTGGAGGACAACAATATCAATGCTCCAGACTGGCCTCCACAGTCTCCAGATATGAACCCCATTGAACACCTCTGGAATCACATCAAACAGGAGCTCAACAAGTATTCAACACAGCCAAAGGGAGTTTGGGAGGTTTGGGAGAGAGTGGCAGTGGTGTGGATTAATGTAGATCCAGGAGTGTGTCAGAATTTAATTGAAAGTATGCCTAGAAGGGTCCAAGCAGTGATAAAAGCCAAGGGAGGTCATACAAAGTATTAAAATTATCAGTTTCTATATCTCTGATACACACTTCCAAAATTGATTCAATGACATGGCAATTTAAATTGTATATACCTTTATGGATACTAATTCAAACTGTATAATTCTTTTTTTTTGATGGATAGTCCTGTGCAAATGGCTTATGTCATCAACTTACACTTTGGTCTTATTTGTCTTTGTTCTTGATAAATTCAACAAACAACCCAAAATATGCAAACATTGAATCAATTTTGGAAGTCACTGTATACTCTACAGGGGGCAGTGAGGCAGTAGAGTACTTGGAATTGGAATCAATATATGGGGACTGATAAGTTTTCAAGTGAAATCTTTTCAACAGAGGAATGAAGGGTTGGAGAACATACAGAGGACAAGAAAGAAAGATAGAAAGGGAAACAACCCCTCCAGGGTAGCATTGATACTACAGAACTCAAACCACAGAGGTAGGGAGGCATCAGTTTAGGCCTCAGCCCACAAGGTGCATGTGCTGTGTTGTACCTAGGCATGCAGCACTAGAAAGAGTATCATCCCCTGAGTAGATCTCACCACATGACCCCTAGAAACCTGGTCCACAGAGACTGCTGATGGGTCCAAACCAAGTCTATCAAACATGTGAAGTAGAGGTGCACCTCAGAGCCAGAGGATGGGCAGAGTAAGCACAGAGTGGATGGAACAGGCAGCAGAGTGGTGGGTGGAGTGATGGGGAATGTGGCATGAGTGCATGGTTGTGACATATGCTGATTATCCAGCTAATCTTATGCATGCAGCCTCTGATGTGAGAAGGTTGATGAGTTGGTCTCCAAACACTTGACAACTTCAAAAGCTATGACCCTACCACATGAATATCTTGCAGAGTGATTTAAGGCCCTTGGGTTGAGTGCACTTGATGGTGGAAGCCTGAAGCTGCATTTGTTGAGATGTCACAAGCAATGAGCATGACTGCAGCAAATACAAATGTACACTTCATAAAAGCTGTATATAACCATGGTCATGGCCATGGGTACTTACAGGTAGGGGTATTCACCACTGTTTCAGAACATTTCTGTAGTTGCATACACTCCATATTTTTACATCACAACAATGTATACAAGTAAACATAATGTTCCAAACTTCAATCATTCACATCAGTGGAGAAATGGCAGATATGAAATTTGTGTGTGACAAGTACCAACACCACACTGATGCCAGGCATTTTGCAGTGGAGATTGAATATTGAGCATGCCTGGCAAATTGATGATAAGTAATAGTCCCATATCCAGACATGCTACTCTTTCTATTGACCATCTACAGACTTTATTGGCCTTCTGACTCCATCAACAGCTTGTTTGCTGAAAACATATCAGATGAACAACTCCATACATAGTGACAATATCCACTTACACATGCGATGCTCAATGATGATTTTGATAATAGCATCACATAAATCATGCATATCACCATCATGGTCATGAAAAGCTGCCTTGACAGCTTTTGAAATGGCAGTCTGTATATTGGAGCTGTTGTATTCCTCCACACCCAATGACAAAACCTCCTGCCAAAGATGCTGCCCATGCTGCATTAAAAAGTAAGAATGCTCAGCAACAAGCAAGCATCCTAGAACAGTGAGTATATCCTGTGTGGACAATGGGAAACACTTACCAATGGCATGTTCAGCCATTGATTGAGGAGTTGGGAACTTCCCCAACAAAGTGACATCTTTGGGCAGAGCTGGCATTTGGACAGCACCATTGACTTCAAATTTTGACTGTTATTCTATATGTTTGCCTTAGACAAAGAGGGGTAGCAAGTCAATGCTTACAAGCTAAGAATTGTAACAGCACACATGTAACAAATATGGTCAAAGCATAGATGGATGAGACATGTAGCCAGTTATAGCTGCTGTCAGGCTGCACACCTCCTGCCAAAAAAGAGGTCAAACCAAGGGCACCACACAATCATGATCAGTCTATGTGCTCAAACAACCATGCAACCACTCACATTCTACCATACAGGGTGGTTTGGAGAATGAATAAAATTTAGCAAAAACCAGGGGCAACATGGCAGAACCACCTACCAGCTACAGGTCAAGTGGAACCCAAAGTATGGAAGCCAAGGGAATCAAAAAAGATCTGATATTGGACTAAATTCACACACATTCTGCCATACCATCACCATGAACGGTGCAAGGTTTCTCACTGAGCAGACATCCAGCTAAACATACCACAAAATCACTCACAAGCTGTCATGCAACCCACATCAAGTGTGCAAGTGAGGTCATTGAGGTATCCAGATAAACATGCCATGAAATCACTCACTTCCTGACATGCCACCAACATCAAGAGTGTAAAGTGAGGCCATTGAGCAGACATCCAGAAAAATGTGCCATGAAACCACTCACCTTCTGTCATGCCACCAACACCCAGAGTGCAAGTGAGGTCATTGAGCAGACATCCAGCCAAACATGCCATGAAATCACTCACCTGCTGTCATGCCACCAACATAAAGGGTACAAGTGAGCCATTGAGAAGACATCCAATTAAACATACCATGAAATCACCCACCTCCTGCCATCCCACCACCATCAAGTGTGCAAGTGAGGTCATTAGACATCCAGCCAAACATGTCATGAAACCACTTACCTCCTGTCTTGCCACCAACATCAGGAGTGCAAGTGAGGTCATTGAGCAGACATTGAGCTAAACATGCTATGAAATCACTCACAAGCTATCATATCACCACCATCAAGAGTGCAAGTGAGGCCATTGAGCAGACATCCAGATAAGCATGCCATGAAATCACTCACTTGCTGTCATGCCACCAACATCAAGTGTGCAAGTGAGGCCACTGAGCAGGCATCCAGCCAAACATGCCATGAAATCACTTACCCCCTGTCATTCCACCCACATCAAGAGTGCAAGTGAGGCCATTGAGCAGACATCCAGTTAACCATGACATGAAATCACTCACATACTGCCATGTCACCAATATCAGAAGTCATCAAATCCAGCATGAGCATGCCATTAATTACTCACCCCCTGTTAATACATGCAAGGGAACACAAAATGGGAACATCATTGACTCCATATGTTAGAAGAACTTGGTCACTTACATCACAATTTGGAAACCATTTCAGCAAATCACATTCCAACTCTTTTGCATCCACCTGCACTCTTCCCATGAAACCTAGCTCCATTCTGTTTCTCAATGTCCTTTAGTAGATCAGTATCTGTGCCAAAATACACTTGCTCACTTACTTGTGCACAGCATACTGAACACATAGTGTAATACTTGACTGCTGTGTTGATATAAGTAACCTTTGTAAATCTTCCTCATTCAACACATTTGCTGTCCAATGCATCAAAGTGCTGCAGTCTGCACTCTGTTGATCCATCTCTGCCACCAGGATTTTCTAGTAGCACTGTCTCTGAATGATGAAATACCCACTTTGAAGTGACAAATATCCTTTAGGTGGAGACTTGCACTTGCCAAGCTCATGCTTTATGTGTGCAAGCCACTTCTCCAACAATTCCCTTTCCTTTTCTGCAATCCTTCCCTGTGCTCCTCCTATCTCCCAACCCTCATCTTCAAGTTCTTCAATTGCATCCAGATTCAAGGTATCCACCTTTGTCAACAACACTATCACAGGAACTAGACAGATCCTTAGTTACATGACAATCAGCCAAGCAGAGGAATTCACCATGTCCTGTATCACACTCATTGAAGAATTTCTGCTCAGCAGCAGTTACTGTCCTGCAGCTCTCAGTCATGGGGATGCAAAACCTACATTCTATTGCCTTAGCCTGTAGTTACTCACAATGTATTCCTTACCAGATGACATGGATTCGTTCATTCACCCTCGGTGTGGCTGCACGGTCAACCACGAAGTCCTTCATCTGTTCAAACTCTTCTGCAGCCCCTGCTTCGAATCCACAGGAATCATGGAACACAAAGCCTGGGTTGCTCCGAAAAATGAGTTCATGCTCGATCCTATGGTAGCCACGCTGGGAACACTCAACATTCAAATGAACTTCCACGAGCCAACACAGCATCTTACCGCCAAAGTGCCTTGCACAATAGTACCATCAATCTGAAAATTGTTAGATACATGTTACAGTATTCTACCGACCCTATAGGATTATACCTTGTTTCCCTTGCTATCGAAGACCTCTGGCTTATCTGTAGAGTCGCACACTCTTTGGATGATGGTGGTTTTTCCGGCATTCGCTCTGCCCATGACCAGGATTCGAAAACGCTCAATGTTTTTCATGTATTCTTGAGCCATCTCAGAATTGAGACGGTAAGCAGGTCTAGAAGATGTAGTTGCTGTGACTCGGCATTAGACAATTTAGATTTCATGAAGAGCAACAATATTACCGTGCGGAGGAACTTCAATCTGAGAGAGAACTGGACTCGCCACATCGCCGACAAGATCACTAGCTTCTGTGTCCCCATATGAAGTACGTCATATTCCGTATGCTAGAACAATATCGTACCTGCAGCTGTAGCTTCGGTGGCTGTAGGAGTTAAATCATTTGAATCGCTCTGGCAGGCACGATGCGAATCACTGCCGAGAGACTTGAACCACTTCTTGATACGACCAGGAGCCATGTAAACGTAAGATACGACTCTGCGTACTTCACAACGCAGAACTTAAAGCGTGCGGAGGATCAGCGTGAAGCCCGTGGTCGTGATATCGACTCACAGCAAGTCGATCGATCTAAAGGCGCGTACTTCCTACACTGACTCATGCGCTTATGTAATCAAGTGAAGCTTGACAACGTTAACTTCCACAACAACAGCTTCAATTCCTTCTCAAGGCAAATATAAAAATCTCTGAGCATTTCCGCTATGCTCCATGATCCAATATCCAAAAGACTCTAACAAGGGTACGTTTGTTGTTTCTTCCTGTTCACGAGATCTCAAAAATCCTATTTCTTATGCCTCTCTCTGTGAAACAGATGAAGCAGCCTACGGATGGCATATCCATTTGCACCACCATCTACTTTGATGGATTTACTTCCTTCATCGATCCTGAACCGATTTTGGTAGCGCTATGACAGAGAACGGGTGAGTCTTGTTTGCCTTGTGTTTGCTCCCTAGCGTTGTTGACGGTTTCTTTTTTCCTCTTTGGCGTCGAAAGCGAAACGTATACTGTCAAAGCCAAAGGACGCGTTCCGGAAGATGTAGAAGCAGAGCCCGTGGGTCGCTGTATCAAATATCGACCAAACAACCAGACAGATCAGGACTAGTTCGCAGTTATATGTGCCCCTCGTTCTTCCACAACCTTGTCTTCCCCTTTGCAACCAGATTGACTCCGTTTCGTCAGAACTGTATTGTTATGCTATGTATTGCATCTCATTTGTTGCCCATTCAGCTTCATCCAAAACCATACAGGTCGAATTGTGAAGTGTGGCTTTCTGCTCTCGTTCGACGTGTACATGTATATTAATATCGTGGTGTCGGACCCCCTACAAGTCTTTGGTTGTCTCTGTACTACTCAAAGGTAACCTGACTGTCCTGCGTGCTTCGTTAGTTTCCAAACGACCAATGAACATGGTGAGTGATGGGCGTTGACACTCTGTACTTGAAGGATATCGTTGAATGTTCCGGGGTTTATGTAGTAAAAGAAAGCACGAGCTCTTCATCGTGTTGCCCTGGGCAGGGTATTAAATACCATCAAGTTGCACGGCAATGACAGCCATTGAAAACCGGGCGTGCACACAGTACGGACTTCAATACCCAATACCGACTTAACGCAGTTGTGGTGCTTTTATGCTTGGCAGCCCAGCTTCATGATTTTACTAACTGATTACTTTCTAAGCCCGTATATACAAAGGAAGTCTCATCACAACTGCAGCGCCCCCCTCTCTGGTGCTTGTGGAGTATGCCCTACTTACTTTCGTCCTCATGAAGCGTTAGTCATAGAGGTCACTGGGTGAAGGTAATGTTTTAACTTCCAACAGTTAGTGAACACAAGCCACGGTTCCCGTTGTGGTACGGCCAACGGTGATCTTCGAGCTTATCTAGTTCTTCTCTTCTACGACTTATTTTCATATTAAGTCCACCAGCTCTACTGTAGAGTCACCGTGCTGAAACTTGGAGTATGTAAATGACAATGAGTGGACTCAGGGGCTATTTATTCGTATTTGTTGTTGTCCAAACAGAACAAAATGCGTCCTCGTCAATGATGTTCGTGTAGAGAGTGAACAAAGGCAGTTGGTTTGTACGCGTAGGCCATGTCGTCCATAGCCTCCCAATTCGCGCGACAAGGGAGAAAGGTAGGCTGGAATTATGTTTCATTGGCGGAGCCCAATTCACATTTCAGATTGTGGCTATTGGAAGGAACTACTCTGAGCACATCAAGGAGCTCGGCAATACGAGACCAAAGGAACCGTTCTTCTTCCTCAAGCCTACCACTAGTTATGTTTCCTCGGGAGGGAACATCGAGATACCACGCGGTATACTTGCTCATCATGAGGGTGCGCTTACAGAGCCGTGCACATGTCCGAGGCATTTTTCTCTGCTCACACTGGACCCGTAGTCGAGCTTGGACTCGTTATAGGAAAAAGTGGCAGGGAAATCTCTCAGGAAGCTGCTGAATCCCATATTGCTGGATACGGTATGTGCTGATATGTAGACCATATACGCACGTCACTTTTACAAGCTCGTGTCTTCTATGCTAGCACTGGCCATTGATATGACGGCTCGAAACATGCAAGAGGAGGCCAAGAAGAAGGGTCTTCCATGGTCTGCCGTAAAGGGATTTGATACATTCACGCCAATAGGGTTCGTGTATATCTCCTCTATACTAGTTGTCATAGCATTTATAACTATCAGGAAATTCATTCCCAAGTCGACGGTCTTGGACCCTCATGAGCTTAGGCTCTCGCTGAAGGTAAGCTTAGTCGAACATTGTTGTTTAAGAGATAGTCTTCAGGTTCGCGCTTCAGGTCAACGGTATTACCAAACAAGATGGCACCACTGCCGACATGATCTTCCGGATCCCTCAACTGATCGAACACATTTCCTCTATTATGACTCTGGAGGTGAGAGACATGGCCATTTATCTCTAAGAGCTTAACTGACCCCAAACCCCCAGGAGGGTGATCTTGTCCTGACAGGCACTCCCTCAGGCGTTGGGCCCGTTGCACCCGGCGACAATGTGGAATGCGCTGTAGCTGATGCCAGCGGCAAGGTCCTGGATGCCATCGACTTTACGGCGGTCGCAAGAACTGGTGGTTACCTGTTCAAATTATAGCTGTGGTATGCTTTTATATCCCAATGCTGCATCATCACCATTTGTACACGTCCGCTGTGAAATAGAGCATATACTAAACTTCATCGGCACTACAATTAAGAACATTATCCTCCGCCCAGTATAAATACCTGCAGCGACAGTGAAACGCCACGCATCCTAACTACACTAACCTCGCCAATTAGCTATCCCAACCACTGTTCCGTACATCATCGATCCGTTCGTTCACCTCTTCCAGTGATATCGTCTGCAAGGCATTTTCCGAAACGCCGCCAGTCATGTTGCCAAACTCATCTCCCTCAGAATCGCCCTCGGTTTCTGAACCGCTAGCAAATGTCCAGCTCCCGGCAGTTGGAGTAAGGTCGCCATCTCTCACACTGTCCGAGTCTGCCGAGTGGAATTCCCCGAAGTCAAACGAATCGTCCTGAAGACAGCGACGAAAACGACGTCGAAAACTGGATAGGCTCTGATGTCGGGGTTCCAGCCGCATCAGAGAAGGGACCAAAAGCGTCGTCCTGCAAATCAATCAATACGGGAGCGGTAAGAATTAAGGAGGATCGTAAGGACCTCATCATAATGGGCTCCGAAAGGATCATCGGTGAGCGCTTCTCTGAGAGGCGCAGAGGAGGATGCACAAAAGGCGTCCTGGATGCGTTTGTCGGTTTAAAAAAAAAATTCAAGAAAAAGTATACGAACATCAAAGCCGCTAGATGCTGATATTTGTGCGTTGTTTTGATGACGGCGAGCTGGGGGTGGTTTTCCCAAGTCAAATGTAGAATGTGCCAACCAGCCGCCATCTTCTTCGTCTTCATCGTCGTCTGCATCAGAAGAGAAAAATTCTGAGTGCATCTCTTGTGCCAGATACCGCGCGAACTGGGGGGTCCCGGCAATTAAGACATAATAAAGAACAAGCAGACATATTAAGCACACCTGTGGCGGTCCTGTCCCGTGGTCGTCCTCGTCTTCGTCTATTGGCGCTGGACCGAAATCGGCACTCGTCTCCCGACTGGGCTTTGCAGCGGCAGCTCGCCTAAATTCACCCTTTAACATTGAGTTTCCGTTCGTCGTTGGACCGGCAGTCGACATAGACTTAGTATCTTCTTCGTCGACGGCCCATCGCGTGCCGGGTCGGGGAGCATTGACATTAGGTTTGCCACCCCCAAGCAAGCTTGTATCTCGTTTCTTCGTTTCATTGTATCTGCCTGTCACGTATTCAGACCAATCGGGGTGCGGCGCGTGCCGCTCTATCATCAGCCGCAGCTCCAGGGGATAATGCTCTAGTGCAGTGATAACGTCTTCTGACATGAGAGTAAGGTGGCCCATGTACCCCAAACGTACACCTTTGGGTTTGACGCTGAAACGCCGTCGTTACACGGCGCAATCAAATAGACCAAGACGGTAGAGCTTGCCTTTCCGCATCATTTTTCTTCTGCCCCTCAACTATGCGATGCATCAGTCGAGCATCTCGGAAGAGCGCTATGGTCAATTCTCGATTCAAGCCACCATCCACTCTGCCGGTAAGTATCTGGTGGATGAAATCGTAGACCACGCTGTGCAGAAAGTTGTTCCACGGAAACTCAAAGAACAGGTCCTGCAGCGGCAGAAGTCAGAACGATTAAGCAAAATTACTGTGAACTACTCACCAGTAGTACTGAGAGCACGGACTCCTGGAGGAAAACCTGTTTCATCCTCTCTCCTGCGGGTACTTCCGAGACAAGATCCCTCGTCATCCGCCTCGAACTTCGACGAGAATTGTTGGAATAAGCTTTCGACACCGGGCTATTCGAGATAGAACCTTCGCTAATTGGGCTCCGCCGAAGTACACCTTGATCGGGAGATGTTGACGAGGTCGTAATTGGAGAAGAGGACAGCATTGATGGAGACTCTATGGGTGCTTCAGTAGTCTCCGCCTGCGTGTCTTTCGTCGCTATGTCGTCCATCACGATTTCTTCCATGGCGTCGTCGTCAGAACTGCCCGGTTCGTCGCTCATGTCGTCATCTGAGTCTAGCATCGACGAGCCGCGTGGATTATGGATGGGCAACTCCAGCGCAGGTTCAACCTCATCTTGAGGGCCCTCATTCTCCTGCTCCGCCTCATCGCCAGATCCGATGGCAATTACGCGTGCTAGCTGTTCCAACGACGACAAACCGCCTTGCAATCGACCTTGGTTGTCATACAGGTAGTCGTGCTCTGATGAGCGGTTCAGGAGAGACATATTCGAACAGTGCAAAAGTTCTGCGTAAAGCTCGCAAATACGATACCGTTCGAACGTCAGCGGCTGGATGAGACCCACTGTCGTGGGCACTGGGCCTTGCTACTCCGGTAATGTGAGCCATAAGTAACGACTTCAATTCAAAATGAACGCACTGAGGAGCGTGGTTGCCGCAAATACCGTTGAAAGTCAGGCAGCCGTTCTGACATGACATCCAATAGTGGACCCAAATGAACAACACCCATACGGTCAACCATCTCGTTCATTGCGTTCTCCAAAGTCTCCCGTGCATTATCGGAAGCCATGTAGTTGCTGCTGGACTTGTATCAATCGATTCCGTAGAGTGTGGAAGAGGTATGGTTCGAAATAGTCTGAATTATTTTTCCGGATGAGCTCGATTACTATAGATATCGAGTGGACGACGGATGAAGTAGCAGAATGGATGTCTGGGAGGTCGTGGCCAAGGGTGTTGCCATGATCACTATGTTGCCCGTCGCCGGCGTATCGTTCGGTAGGCGATTGGTCGTTGTATTCGTAAAGAATATAGCCGACTAACGTATCTATACTTTCCCTTCGAGCGAGCTCACGAGCGAAGCGATTTGAAGCGGGAAGATTTTGAAGTCCGTCGGTTAAACCAGCACCCGGGGAAGGTGCAGCCATAGAGATGATACCTTTGATGAGTTCTGAGACTACCGCATGAACATCGCTGCTATGAGCAGGTGAGAGGAGGTCAATTAGGCGGCCCATGAGCTGTTCGCTGGACAACCACTGAGTAACAAGTCAGGTGAGACATGGACACGAGAGGTCACAAGAGCATACTTCTAGAACACCAGATCCTCCAGGTTGCTCGTCTAATTGGACGATGCGAACTAGCAAGTCGACTATGGAAGGTGCCTCGACATGGTGAAGTAAGCGCTCCACAATATTCGGTTGAGATTGGATGAAGGCAAGCATCTGGATATTGATGTGTCTCGTGCGCGACAGCATAGAAGAATAACGCAGACCACTTACATCTGCGGGCTTTTTTGTGAGGAAGACAGAGTTTACCTTGGCGAAGTGGGACGCCATGACCATTTCAGTCTTCATGTCTTCTGGTGACTTGTCGAGGACAATCTCCCAGAAGGGTGCCAGCAGCTCGTCGGCATTATTAACACAAGTCTCAACGACGGACCAAATTTCACTACAGAGCACTTCCGTGGCAACGTAAGGATATCTTGTGACCGCAGTCAAACGCGAGATGAACGGGCGCTAGAATTGGTCACGTACTTGAAGCGTCCCCTCTCTTCATGACCCTCAATCTGTCCAGTGACATAACCCAACAGACGCTTGAGAACATCTGTACGCTGAAAGTAGTCGATAAGCCTCGTGTTCTGAGCCTTGCATTCCTGTAGTAGATCGTCCTCGTCCAAAATCGCCTCAAGTGAGACGTCCTCCTTGTCTAGTAGGCTGTCGATAGCCGACACATTGTGGAACCCGAACCTGTATGAAAATTTTTGTTCAGGACTACGATATCTCTGAAAAGGCGGTAAACTACCTCCAAAACATGGAGACAGTTTCTTGGATGGAACGAAGAGAGACAAGTCTGTTTGTTAGGCCACTCGGCCTGGGGCTAGGCGCGACTTACGACAGAGTGCTATGTAGTGTTTAGGCGAGATGCCTAGATTGGACATCTGCGATCAGGAACTGCCTACTCTCAATGTATCACACAGAAACATCCGGCGTCCCCCCAAAGAAGAAAGGTATATCATTAAGAAAAAAGTCTGTAAGGTAACACGTGGGAAAAACAACTACCCAACCCACGAATGCCTCAGAGTCCTCAGAACTACTCTAGGTCAGTCTTAGAACCCTATCAGGCAACCGAGGCTTACCCGAATCTGGTAGCTCCCGCTCGCTTTAGTGAGATACCGCACCCATTTGATACTGTGGTAGTTGTTCTTCTCGAACACCTTGAGGAACCGGACGATCAGGCCAGACGCGGTGAACATCAGCACTTGGAAGTCGACATCGATTGGGGGCCGCGCCCACACTTGTCGAACAGTAGTAGAAGTCAGATCAGCCGTGGCCGTAAATGTGCATTCCTGGCCGCCTTGTATTCGTGGAATCCTGGGGGAGAGAAACGGAGCTCAGAACTAATGCGTCTCTCGAAACCTGACAACTCACTTCCATACAACGATATTCTCTGCAGGAACATACTTGGCTTTACCGCTTGCTACCTTGCAATCCACCGTCGTCGTATTTAGAGGTGTAGGTATCTTCAGTACGACATTGGTCGCTGACAGCTTAGTACCAAAGTTCCCTTTCACAGACACCGTGTATGACACTTGCGTCGTGCCGATCTCATTTACGGTTGGAATGATGCGCAACGGAAGCTTCACGTTCGACGTACACCGATACCTCAGAGAAGATGTTCAGTATAGAAGAGACGAGCGTCAAGTCGCTTACCTCATTAGCTCGAACTCGCCATCCGGCGGGATAAAGCTGATTGTACGGGTCGCGTCAAACTCGTTCAGCCGGACGCACTGGTGGAAGCGACAATCATCAAGTTCCACGGCATCACTGGCACCTCTCTCGTTCTTGTCGATGACAAGCTTATCATTGAGACCAAACTTGCATTCAGGTGTTCCGGATAAGTATGCACGCATTTGGATGTGTCCGTCGACATCTGCACGAAGGGCGGTGCCTAAAGGAATATCAACGACCTGACTCAGCTCGCCGATTCGGGTACGGACCTTTCGCACTCATGCTGAGATTTACTGTTTCTACGACATCCACAAATGCCTCGTTCTTCTTATACTTGACCTCGCCACGCCGCCAGCTGGTTGCACCGGTTGCTTGTGTGGTTATCTTTGAGGACTCCTCCTAATAGCTCGATTAGTATGGACTAGCGAGACGCAGGACGAGCATTACCGCCGCGTATGCACTTGACATTATGCTCTCTGTCGTGATGTATGACTTAAGAGTATCTGTCTCGCTGTTTTGAGGATATCCAAAGTCGTTAATTTCTATCATGTGCATCAGTAAGCTATCGCGTCCCTTTACATGAGGCACACACCATCAATGAGCTCGTAGATCAGCACGAAGTTGTTCTTGACAGCCTCCTCGTCTACCTTGCCGAAATACGACTTTGCGATGGATATCAAACGATAGCAGTACTCGAATACGAGCGCAGCATTGGCGTTAGTTCTAAGGGACATATGAGCGTCAAATAGGGACGGTTTTCTGGCGCTTCACTTGGTGACTGCAACTACATAGAGATTGTTCACCCGGACGTGAAAGAAGCTGGTGGAACCCAACGTGATGATGGGTGATCGCACGTCGCTATTTGATATAACCTGAATACGAAAGACATCTGCAATGGAGCGCCTAGATTCCAATCATGAGGTGGTGAGAAGGGGTGGAGGTGGAGAACTGACTTGAAGTCTGTCCGATATAGACGAGATATGAGGACCTGCTCACCGGAATGAATGACAATTTCAATGAAACGCGGAACAAAGACTTGCCTCTCCTTTTTGATTGAAGATAAAAAATGCCTTGCAAATGTATCAGCTACAAGTCCAAGAGTCGTCTTGCTCGTGCCCTTACCGAAATCATGGTCAACCGAAACGGGAGAGCGCACACGCCTGATCACATTTATAAAGTCACGTGAATTCATATCACTGCCAGTGGTTTGAATTGTCGGACCATGGCATGAGTGACCAGCCAACAGTCGTTTTCATCCCCTTCTAAGTGGGCCTTTCGCCTCCAACAGGTGCTCACTCACGTACAGCGCGTTCCATCTCTCTGGTACCATTGCCCCGCGGACACATGATGGAAGATACGTGAACATCTTTAACACAGACAGCAGACTTCAGTTTTGCGACAGGACGCTATACGAAAATGCCAGGTTTGCTGTAGTAAAGGATGACTACGGCAGGGTCAACCTGAAAGGCCCTTCGATTCGATGAGCTATCGCTGCCTCCCGAAACTCACATTCGCAAGCCAACGGTCGATGTTCCGTAGACCCCAATAGGAAAGCTGTGATCCTCTATTATACTAGCAACGTCATGTGCTCTGAGGAGAATGGCCTCTGGTTCAGGTGGATTATTTGCTCCTGAGTAGCCGTCCCCAACCCGGAGGCCATCTCTTCACGATGTCAGAGAAAAGGAGGATCCCTCTCGCCGGTTCCTCGTAGAGAATTCGAACCAGTTCTCCATGGTTACGAGCCGTACTCTGATGTTGCGCGTGTTTTTGCTTAGGCATAATGTAGATCCCTCGTTTTTGGCGCTAAGGCTGGTCGATCTTAGCTCTCAATGCTGGACACGCGTCTGGTCGCAACGTCTGCCATAACCTATATCGCCATTCAGCCGCTTAAACACGCCGTACTCGCCTTACTTCCACTCTGTACGTGAATATGACTGCCTGGATCTGACAAAACACTAGTTCCCGTTCACCGCGGTCATTCATTCCATTACATCCGATCTGGTACCAGCTGATGGTAGGTTTAATGGCATAGTCGTGGCAGCGAGCGCTGCTCAGAAAGTCGCGCATAGGTCAAGTAATATTTCCGTCGGGCCCCCCTGCTGTAATTCCAGCTAATACAATCCGTGGCTTCACTGCGACCTCCGTTGACCTGATCCGTCCAGTGATGAGATCGAAATGTCTGTAACTCAAAATGCTTGGCGTTTCGTCGAAGGTGTCCCGGTTCGTGCGTAGAGCCTTTTTGTTATCCTATGTTGTTTGCTACGCTACTGCGCCTGTTCCATAGGACTCCCAAGTTCTTGACGTCGGTGTACCCTTCTAGTAATTGCACTCAGTACTTGTCCGTGATCCATTGAAGCCGATTGTTTGGTGTTTCCGCCGTGGTGAATTATTCTTCCTGTGCATGGGAATGTTCGCAGCCTCAACAAAAGCAGTATAACGATTCGCACTAGCACAGCATTCTGAGAAGGATCCAAAATGAATTTGCTGTAAAGGCATGTACTCAAATTACTTTGTATTGCTGTCCCTCAATACGCTCCAACGGATGATTGTTGTTGTACGGCTATTACGCTGATCGAAGACTTCGATACATAGTCCGCCTGAAGCCAGATATCTGATATCCTCAGAGCGCTTCGTGTTTCAGTGGAGTCAACCGTGAAATGAATGCGGCGGGCCTGAACCCAACGGTTTGCAAACTTGTTTCTTACTAAGAACCTGCCTCATATTTGGCTTCGGATAGTAAGTTCTGCTCTTCTCGGAAGCTAGCTTATACTTGAGACGAGTGGGGAAACGAGACTTCCGTGCACCCAGAACTTATGACCGGCATGCACTTGATACTTGTTATTTGCGATGCAGGGCACCCACAACATTTCTCCTGAGCTATTACGGCGAAGCGGTCTGACAGCAATCTGGGTACCAACAATCGCGGAGACGTAACCCTGCTCCCTCGAATACAACACCCTGTATGCTTCTCCGGCATTTCGATGATAGTAGGGGGTCTTGTGGTGTTTGTATAGTATACCTAGCATAGTAGTACTTGCGTACTTGGGCTGGAGAGAAGGCTGTCGGACTTGTCGGTAAGCAAATTTGTTGTGGCGTGGCGTGGACCGATCGAGTCACCATCAATTTGACTCCACTTAACTTCAGAAGCCTGGAGTTGATCTCCCTCTCTAGCTAACTTTACCTGCAAGCTTTCATGTCGTTGCCTAGTGCTCTGCGTGCACGGGGTGCACAAAAATCTGCAGCGAATGCCTGCTTCATTCGCTCAAGGTCGACCGTCTCTTCAAACTCGATCGTAGATGCCAAAGCCAGAGTGAGAGACCATGCCAGACAAATCAGCAGATCCTCCGTGCGAGGTGCTATCCCCGCTGCCGCTGCGTACATATGATCTACTTTCGGTTGTACGATCAGAGAGCTAACATTTCCTTCCAGTCGACCCGAGCCGGCACCAGGTTTTCAACAGTTGCCACCTAGCAGCGGGGCCTTGCCGTTGCTGGAATCTCAAATACACGCAGCTCTTGACCACTCGTTCGTAGGGATGTCAGGCGGCGAGATCTTTCACGAAATGATGCTTCGACATGGAGTGAAGCACATCTTCGGGTACCCAGGGGGTGCTATTCTCCCTGTGTTCGATGCTATCTACAACTCTAAGCATTTTGACTTCATATTACCACGCCACGAACAAGGTGCCGGTCATATGGCCGAAGGGTACGCACGTGTATCCGGAAAGCCCGGTGTCGTCCTCGTCACGTCAGGTCCCTGGCGCAACAAACGTCGTGACGCCGATGCAGGATGCCTTGTCTGACTGGTGTCCCCCTCGTTGTCTTTTGTGGTCAGGTCGCCACGTCAGCCATCGGTTCTGACGCTTTTCAAGAAGCTGATGTCGTCGGCATTTCGCGGAGTTGCACAAAATGGAACGTTATGGTCAAGGACATCACGGAGCTACCCAGACGCATAAATGAAGCATTCAAAATCGTCATGTCAGGACGCCCGGGTCCTGTTCTTGTAGATCTACCAAAAGATGTCACAGCGGGTATCCTGCGCACTCCGCTGCCATACAAGGCGACAACCCCTGGCCTTCATACCCTTCCTTCTAATCCATTGCAGGCTGTGACCTCGCCCACCGATATGGTCCTTATCCAGCAAGCCGCCAGTCTGATCAATCAGTCACAGCGGCCCATTATCTACGCCGGCAACGGTGTCCTCTCGTCGCCTTTTGGTCCCAAGCTGCTGGCTCAACTGGCAGAGCAGGGTAATATCCCGGTGACGACGACATTGCAAGGTCTAGGTGCATTCGACGAGACCAACGAAAGGAGCTTGCATATGCTCGGTATGCATGGCTCAGCGTATGCGAACCTTGCTATGCAAAGCGCAGACTTGATCATTGCATTGGGTGCACGGTTCGACGACCGTGTTACAGGAAAGATCGATACTTTTGCCCCTGCCGCTCGTGCAGCAGCAGCTCAAGGACGAGGAGGCATAATCCATTTCGAGATTCAGCCCAAAAATATCAACAAGGTCGTCGAAGCGTCTATTCCTATCCTTGGTGACGTCGTATCGAATATGTCTGCCCTTGTGCCCTTGATTCGGTCATCGCCCCGTACGGACTGGTTCACAGATATCAAACAGTGGAAGGAGAAGTATCCCTTTACGTACGTGAACTCTGCATCAGGATCCGATGGTCGGATGAAGCCACAGGCTGTCATCGAGGAGTTGGATAAACAGACGGCCCACAGGAAGGAGGAGGTCGTCGTGTCCACTGGTGTTGGCCAACATCAAATGTGGGCTGCGCAACATTTTCGGTGGAAAACTCCACGTTCAATGGTCACTTCTGGAGGTCTCGGTGTATGCAATTATTGTTGTTGTGCGTTTTTTTCTCTGACGCTCATTGATATTAGACAATGGGCTTTGGGCTGCCTGCCGCAATTGGCGCGAAGGTAGCCGCCCCGAACAAGACTTGTGGTTGATATTGATGGAGATGCTTCATTCAGTATGACGGCAATGGAGCTTGCGACGGCCTCGCAGTTTGATATTGGAGTTAAGGTTCTTGTGTTGAATAATGAATTCCAAGGAATGGTACTGCAATGGCAGGGTACGTTATCGCTTAAACGCTATTGGGTGGCTGGAACGCTCATCGTACCCTCCAGACCTGTTCTATGACGCTCGGTACTCCCACACAAGAATGACAAATCCTGATTTTGTCCTCCTTGCCAAGGCGATGGGTGTACATGCTATTCGGTGCAGCAGCACGGAGGAGCTCCCAGAGAAGATGAAGGAATTCCTGGAGTATGACGGGTCGAAACCTGTCCTCATGGAGTGTATTGTTGAGAGGAACGAGCACGTGTATCCCATGGTGCGACTGCAGGATGTCACTGGTTAGTCGCCTCCCCCCTGACTGTGCCTTTCATTTCCAGGTACCAGCAGGCAAAGCTCTGCACGAACTGGTCCTCCACCCTTCACTGAGACCAAAAGCTCAGTGAAGGTGTGAATTTGACATGGGTATCTACCTCTCAACCGCAACCAAATGAACAAAAAGAAACCACTTCCTTTCCATACCATTTATCTTTCGCGCTTTTTAACCGTTTTTCGCTGCGTAGTACTACCGAGGATACACGCTACGTTGCCAGGGAGTCTCACATTGCTTGACCCAAAATGAGGCAGTTTCGCCTCTCGGATTTCATAGTTTGTACTATATCCGCGCTTTCCAACAATTTTCGATACATGCTGGCAAATTCTGGGCGTTTGGAGTGCTGAAGTCGAAGTAACAACTGCAATGGGCCAATTGTCTCGGCCCGTTGTCACATACTACCATTGGATGGCAGATGCAAAACTTCTGCGAAATATTGACTTCACAACAATTCAACATTCAAATCTCGAATTTTTTTTACTTGGTAGAATGAGATCTAAGCTACATCCGTGTTGAGTTTTACAATAAGTGACGAATTGAGTGCGGCGGAGAGAACACAATCTGAACGGTCAAAAATGCCACCGGAGGCACAATTTTGTCACGGATTGTCACATACGGCACGTCAGCCGAGGGTAAAGTTTGCAAAGTCCGATAATCTGCGTTTGAAATCGGCAGGGTAAACGACTGCTGCCGAATCGGAGCATGAACGATGCCACTAGCGTGACGCCCTACATATACCTAGAATAGCATACCCTTCTCCCTCTAACCGTAAACTTAAGTATCTGCATGTAGATCAGAACCTAGTGCACATTTCCTGAAAGAATTGTACAGCCTCATGTAGTAGATCAGACCAAAGCACTGCTACAAGTGCCTAGGACCATGTAAATTCCCCTGATGGCTGACAATGTTTTATGTTTCACGGCTTCCACAACCACTTTGTCTTGTATCTAAGTATACAATCTACATAAATACACTCTACTCTACAAGACTCCAGCGTTAAATATATCTTAATTGTGGTGTTACTGGCTGTAAGCCATTTTGCAGGTGCTGTCCCACGATAGTAGCGAGATCTGGAACTTTAGATCAGCGCTGACGAAAAGCTGTGGAGAGCTGTGCTCAGTTCGAAACATGTCACTATAGCGTCCCATGCCAAGCTAGAGAAAGGTCAATGGGAAACCGCGCACGGTACACTTTCTCGTAATGCATAGCTGTCCCTTCCCATTATTAGATTTTGGCAGTACCAGATGTCAGTGTCTGCTGGCCCTACGCTATGCATTGTGAGAAAGTATATTGTATTCTTCGTTGCTCTGACCTGGTATAAAAACAACCACGGGTAGCGCTACGGGTCCTATGTCAATTCCTATACGCACTATCAACTCAACCACGATGCTTTGCTCTCATCGAAGCCTACGGTTTGTTGAATGTGACCTCGTAATGAGAGGTCTGCCGAATATTGTGGAGGTCGCGATTTTCTTCGGGGAGAGCATTACTGTAATATTGGATTATCCTCGCGGTTAACCTTTCTGCTGTGAACACCGGATGTTTTCTCGTTACCTTCCGGAGTTCTACGTACATCCATGGCTCCAACTTACTGGCGGGGTACCATCTCGCGACGGAGTGGAATCCTTTGACTAAGGGAGATTCCTTTACCCAGACCGGTATAAAGGGTGATTGATGGTCAATGTCCTCGAACCATCCATTCCGGAACGGTAAGTGTTCGTGGTATATACTTTCGATATCCTCCACTGATCGAAATTGGGCCAGTGCTTGACTAGACCGTTGCTTTTCTTGGCTGTATCCAACCGCACCTTCTCGTCGTACCTTCCGTTAAAAAATCCCGATCGTTCATAGCCTACGGTGTCTTGTCTCAGAGACACTTGACTATTCACAAATTGTGAGCCTCGGTTGGAGTTCCGGAAGGACGAATACGCATGGAGGAAGTTTAGGCTCGAGAAGGACACTGCACGCTGGACGCGTAGGTTCAAGCTTCAAGTCTTGCTTTGTCTTCTGGCAGTCAGAAATATGCACAAGCGTCACGGATGTTGTACGTTCAACCTGTTAAGACTGGAGGTATAACTATACTCACAAAATCAGGGCAGCCTCTGCAGCTCCCCAAGAGACATATTTGTCTCCCGTTCATGGAGACTAGAAAAACAGGTTTCGCTTCTGCGGATCTCGTGTGACATTAATATGGCAGCCCTCCATGTATTACGTAACTTAAGTACGCCACTAGTGTGCCGACCTCCAGCCACTCCAATTTCGATTAGTACGTCCGTAGGCTCTCATGGAGGGCTTCAGTAGAATCAAAAATGACGACCAGAACGTTATTTAAGGGTATAAATGCCAGTGGTGCAACGATGAGGCTGCCTGTGTGCGCGCAAAATAGGGTAAAAACCTCCAGTCCACCCAACCTTCTTAACACTTACCTCGTTGGGTTTCGTGAACTGAGAACCCGGTTCTCTTTGAAGACCTGCCCCAACGATATTATCTTGCTATGGGTGCCTTCGCTGTCATCCAAGCAACCGCAGAATCAAACAGCATATCGCCGCCACCTAAAGCCAGGTATTTCATATAGTAGCACAAAACCTGGTGTTGTTTCCGGCTAATGACTTCTGGCATTTCAGGTCTAACAGGAAACATGACCTGCCACATAAAAGGCACAAATTGGGTCAGTAGTACAACGATCATGGTTCAGTACGTTGCTGAAACGTGGACTGGCTAACAGGGCGTGAGTCGCCGACTTACAAGAAATACTCAAGATGGACAGAAGATGATCGCGACAGAAAGGGGGTGAGAGGTTAGAGCATGCAGTCGAAAGGGGTCTCATTCAGCCGAATTATAGAACAAGCACGTACCTGCTATGCATTTCCGCCAGATGTCGCTGGAGAAGTTGCTGACGTTGACAAGAAATCACTTGTACCAAAAGTTGTCGCCATGCAGGATAGCGAGCGCCAGGAGCATAATGTAGTCGAAAAATGGAAGCATGTGTCACATGTATTAACTAGTACCCACATTCGGGGAGACCTATCACGAAGTAATAGACAATCGTTAGGAGTAAACATGGAAAAGGGTGTTGCTTAACATTGCAGAAGGCATCCAAAAACTGGTGTCTGCCCAAATAGATTTGGCTTCGACCAGGACGGTTGGCTGGGACTTGACCCTCGAAGCTGTGAGAATCCAAAACCATGCAGTAAAGTAGGCACCTATCGGGAAGTGCGAAGCAGCCGCCCGCCTCCAAAGTGATTTCCGGTGAACCATGATCTCCCAACAACGTCGGAGGGTTTGTAACCTGTGTCGCAGGATCTTAGGTAAGAAGCATAGAGAAAACTCCAGGCGGCGGATAACTGGCATGCACGTCCATGGAGGCCAGTGTCTCATGGGCCAGACGTGTGGGCTCCGGGGAGTCAGGGCAAATAAATTAAGGATGGGCAAAAGCAGCATGCCAAAACCCTTGATTGGTGCGTAACGACATGCCCTAGATCATCTGGGGATAGAAGAACAGAGTGGTATAAGCCGGGTCCACAAAGATGGTGATGATAAATAATGAAGTGAGAAGATCTGCTCAAGGTTGTCACTGTGAACCAGATGAGTTGGACGTCGTGGAGCCACTTGTCATGGTGTGGAACGGTGGAGCCGGTGGGCAGTGAACAGCGGATCCGATCACGAGGCTGGGATATTGCCAATACCTAAATCATAAAAATATTTACTTCCCCTCCAGGCCTGGATTGAGAACAACGGGATTTTGAGATATTGAACTGATGCATGATTGTGGTATCTTACCGTAAGGATAGACGGATAATCACTTACGTCTGCCAAAACGTGGAAGGATGGAGTACTGGGAAATCGTCCTAGGATTCGGAACGAGCTAGCCTCCGAGGTCCGATAGACGAGATTGACCGGGCTGAAAAAAAATCTGCTAAAGCTCGGGAGTGGCGCCAACCCGGAGCCAGTGAAGTTGGGATGGGAAAGCCACGAACGTGAGACTAAATGGAATAGTAACGTGGGTCGATTAAAAGTGGCAGCAAAAACGCGACCACAAGAACGGACATGCATGAAGAGCACCTCGTATTATTTTACGTCCTTTTTTTGCGGTAACCAGGCTGGTGATTGCGAAGAGACGAGTAGCTTGGGTCGGCGTGCCACGTCGGAGTGGCAAAAAAAGTGTATGGCGCCACAGGGATCGAGGAGCATTTGCACTAGGTCAAAGCCGTCGCAGGTCAATCTACTTGTCACACACAAGATCAAGGTATGGCCTGACAATTTTGTGCTACTGTTAATTGGATTTTCGATGTTCTTACCGAACTTGGTGCAGATTCGGGAGCACCATCATTAATATTGATCCGCCACGGAGTAGCCAGCGTTCTATCAAGCATCAACACTGAACGCTAAGCTACGTGAATTTGATCAGAGGAACTGAACTTTTTGGCAAAAGGCACGCTTCTAGATCCAAACTGAACGATCTGAGCCCTCGTTGGGACACCCAAGAGAATCCCATCGGATATGATATCGCACAGCTTCAAAGAAGCCAGAACGCTGGCGTTGCACAGTGGTTGAAAGACCAGCGTCTCCCTGCTCACCGTATCCTATGGTGGGTTTTCGCGCCACTATCAAAGGTAAATGAAACCATCGTGTTGATCATTTAGTAAGAGTCACCCACATTTACGGTATGTCCATCAAACCTGTAGAGCTGCAAACCCCTGTGGCCAATTAACCGAACAGGAGTTTCATGTTAGCATGAGGTCTCCAGCTGGCCTTCGTGCTTGCTTTTTCTTGCGCACCGCATCTCAATAATGCAATTGCGCGGCGTTTATGACCACGGAGGGACGAATCACAACGGCAATTGACATGGCTTCTATTGCCCTCGTCGCAACTCATCCATATCAGCATGTCTAGATGCTCTTCCGTCCATGTGTACCAATAATCTACACATCTCATCGTGGACCAGAGGCGGTACAAGATTAACTACGCAAACAGTTTCAGATATCCGCATCGCGTTTGTAGTGACCGAGACCCGTGAACACGCCTTTGTAATTTTCCATTACGTCTTGGGAGGTTAGAACCTGTGAGTCTTACATCCAATGCCCGGATGGGTTTAGGAAACGTGAAGCTGCTATAACGCGATCTCGGTCCCATGCAGGTATGCACGAGCATGTTTCTTCCCAGGCAGTGGACGACGTCCTGGACAGTGCCAACTGGTAGGTCTTGGCTTTGGTAAGTACGTTGGAGCACTACACGGCGATGTGGCGAACATTGCAGGGAAAGGCAAGGGAGGGCGATGGTGACGCAACTCTTTTCCCCCTACACGCACCATCGAATCATTGATGCTCGCGGTGTATCACTTGTGCGTCCGCGGAAATTGAAGACTACATAACCGTCCAGAGGCCCGGATGTCATGTAACGGACGCTAGTTTAGTCAAATCTCGTTCCTTAGCAGCAAGGGTAAGTCATTATTGCTCTGCCACATTTCCATAGTCTATACATACATACCGCTGCCGTCCATTACTTGATGCTTGACCTACCAAAGGTCTATATCCGTCGTTGAATCCATGAGGCTCGTTCTCGCTCCACCAAAAAGCAAATTATCTCAAGGTTATCACCGAGCAAGATAATGAAATCAGTATCCTATTCTGGGCATCCGGCATAATGCAGAACAGAAGGGGATACCGCTGGACAATTCAGTCATCGTTCGTTGACAGTTGCTATGATTGTCCATTCACCTATTGATTGATGTGAAAGGATGGGTGCGTGATAAACGTTTGGAAGCTGGAAGCTTGGAAGTCTGTCATCGTACGCCATCGTTCGCACAGGTGGAATAAATGGAGTTCTCTACGTAATGAGAGACGATGCAACCTCCTTGTGGGGATACATACGTATGGTCGTATTTTTTTCGCATTGGGAGAGGGGGGTTGCGAAATGTTGCAATACAATGTACGTACTTGGGTGTCATTATCGCAGCTGATTAGATTAGATATACTTCATCCGCGGGCCCATTATATATCTTATCGGAGCGAAGATGCCGCAATCCTATTTCTGTCAGTGTCATATAATATCACCATCTTTCAACGATGCCATGTCCGAAGGGGAACTACTTAGATGAATGACACCCAACAGGTAAGTAACAGCTGAATGACAAGTACGCTATGCACGTGCATCATAGACCACGAACGATTGATATCTATCAAAGCGCTCTGAACCCTTCACCCAATTCGCAATTCGCAGTTCGCAATCTATGGATTGACACGCTACATCGAGTGGTCGATTCGCAAATGGGACCGCCGGGTATCGAGCCTGGACTTGGGGGCATGTCGTTCTATCATCGGGTGTCCACGGATGGCAAGGTCTACGCAAACTGTCAATGAACTGTCATTGGCCAACTACCCACGTCTCGTTATCGAGCCAAGCCAATCCTATACGAGCTTACAATATACACATACCCCTAACCACCTGACGTGTGATTCTCAGCTCTATCTCCGATAACCCAGTACCTGAACTACAAACGGGATTAACTTAGCCTTGTGTGAACGAAGGCACTCGCCGCAGACGCGTTGGTATTTCGGTAGGCGTATACCCGAGAAAGACCATTTAAATCCGCATGTGCGGGTGATGCGGCGTTGAATGCAATGACCATTGATGACGAATGTGTCTTACCCCTGAACGCAGGTGTTCGTGTGCGGATTCACAGTGACCGCAATTTCTCCTTCGAGGTCGTGGGGCAGCTGCATCGAATGACAGCGTGTGTGAATGGATGATCGATAGCAGCAGACCATGAGTAACGATGAGAGTGATCATAATGCTGACCTGCGTGGAGTTGGCGCACTAAGTCCTCTGCAGACGATAGGACCATACCCTCTGAAACGCCAAGGCTGAACCATGTGGTTGAGCGGCCTGGAGAACCATTCTCAATGTGCGCAATTGGAGCGATTGGAACATACATCGCTTCGAAGCGACCGATCTGATTGGCCGGACATACATACAACGCCGAGAAGACCCCCCCTCCCCTCCGTCGACACGGGCCGATCACATCTCCAGTTCCACATCTTCCTCCACTTCTCACGTGGGTATGGTTGTCACTTGAAACTGCGGCCTTGACGTTCCTAGACTCGAGAGAACCTATTTTGATCAAGTCAAATGCGAAAAGTGGTCTGGAAGACCTGTCTGTCGCATTTGATCGTTCATCAAATCACGGTGGTGATGTGATGGCGAAGACTGCCCCGGTCAGCCTGGAACTGATTATTCCTATCCTATGTCCACGGACCAGAGCCTACGTGGTCCAAGAGGGGCCACCGCACACTAAGTCGGCTCCCCGATAACTTGCGTCCAACTGGAGTGGAGACCCAGTGCTCCAGTTCCCCGCTTATCGGCACTGGCGGCTGATCGATTTGCGCCGGGACATAGTTCTTGTGACCTAGTCTGGAGAACAAGTTGCTCGCCGGGGGCGGAGAATTGTCGGGCCCCGGCAGTACTCCTCGCCCGAGGCGGGTTAATGTCTTGGAAGCCTCGTCTAGCGATGGACATTGCGCATCCCTGTTCCGTCGACGGGGCTGAGCTTACTCGGCTTACGATCCGGGTAAAGCGGAGTCGAGAAGGCAGTGCATGGATATCCAACTAGAACGGCCAATTTGTGGCGCGTATTGTGGATACCGTACACCTAGATGGGTAGGCGTATGCATCAATCACTGGCGTGATTACTCAAAGAGAGGAAAAAGAACATTGATCGTACGATTGGTTCACAAGGTAATTGATTGGTTGCCGATGCCACCTCGCAAACAGATCAAAGCAAGAGAGATAAGATAGTGCTCCCCATCTTTTCACGTCCTGTCGTGCCAGAGTAACTTGTCTGTCAGTCACGATCTGCCAACGTGAACGTGAAAGCATACGAGTGAAAGAAGATCAGAGAGCTCCCATTTGTTCGGACGAGTACGGCGGTGTCAACGACATCTCGACAGCGGTCGATTTCGCCGTAGGGGCAACTTTTCAACGCTGTCAACCACGCGTGCGTGTACTGCACTAGTAGTAGTGGTATATCCATGGACCATGGGTCCACGGTCCGACTGGAAAGGAACTTTAAAAAGGACAAGGAAAGACGGAACGACGTCTCCGAGGATCAGTGTACAACTTGATGGACATTACCGGATCGGAGATGGCTTCGGCAAGTGTGAGTGTATAAGAGTGAGAATCGGTACTTTTTTCAAGGATCTATCTAATCATGATCTCAGGGCTCTCCGAGAAAGGCGTCCGCAACGGGGAATGCCCCGCCACGACCTCGAGATGGTGGGGTGATATGAGCATGGCAGAACTTGTGGCAGCCTCGACACACGTATCAGAGGAGCGCATCCCCCGTGCATTCAGGCGCACTCAAGTCAGATTTCATCTAGTTTTTGTCGCTGACAACACGCGATATCCTTGCAGGGGTCACGATCAGTACAGGCTTACATACTTTGCAGCTATACCATACGTGAAACGAAGCTATAAAGGGTCTCGGATTCGACCGTCGTCCCCGCGACAATCTCGGAGGAAAGCTTGATATACATACACGACGTAATAGCATCCGAACGGCTCGTCCCCACAGCATATGTACTGCACATGACCTATCAGAGCGTTCTCGGTTTCTAATCTGAAATGCGACCTTCTTCTCAACAAGCAGAGGACCAATACCCTTCTTGCGCCTGTCTGAGAGACCTCAACAAAGGCGGGACAATTGAATGAAGAACTGTGGAGGGGGGGTGACATGCCAAACTCGTCAAGCTTGAAAGACATACTGTATTGTTACTTACAGGTGCCGAGCAGATCTGCCGCGGCAAAACACGACGCTTCAAGCCCATCTCCAGTCTGTCACCTCAGAGTGCCCTTTGTGCTGTTGTCGGACTCCAAATCGCTGTGGCGGTCTTGACTGGAATTGGCGGCGCAAAAGACAAACAAGGTAAAAGACAAGAAAAAAACGTGAAACATGACTGGACGAGCCCTTCGGAAGGCATGTGATTGGCGTGAGGTTAGAGCATGTGCACAGACACAGTGCTCGGGCGTGGCAGGAAGAGAGAAACACAAAGGCGGATGGCAGCCTATCCGGGATCGGGCGAACCTATGGCACACGATAAGCTTTTTTGTGTGGAACGCTGATCGGGATGTGACGTGTGAAACCGGCGTGGAAGGTAACACTTACAATAAGAGCGCTCACAAAATACAAAGGCAGAAACTGTAAAGGAATTGTTTCTGTGTTCACAGTGAATGGAACCCACAATGATCGATTGTGTGTGCTAGTGAGACAAAGAACTCGAACAAAGTTTGGACCAAGATGAAAGAAGTCATGAATCTAGTGTTACGAAGTTTCCGATCCTCGACAAATATTGTTCTTTCGACACCACGCCAGGCAGTGTCACGTCATCGCCATGCACTCACCGCGCAGCTGCGCGCCTTTGCGTCCTTGTTCCCTCCTTGAGACAATCTACACGTTCACCTGTCACTCACTTGTCAAAGGACACATACCACTGCAGTCTGGCACCCCCCCAACAACAAAGATCACGACTACCGGACCATACTGCCGATGATAGTACGCCCGTGCCGGCCGCCGCTTCCGAAGACCACCCCCTCCCCACCACCGTGGCTATCTCGAGGTAATGAGCTTGGCGCGCACCAACTATCAATGACGTGACGAGATGAATCATATGATCGAATTTGCGCGCGCGCGCAGTCAGTGAAGTCAACCCGTTTCTCCAAGATAACCACAGATGGTGGGCCACGCACCATACGCACAGGTATGGTACTGTCAACGTATGCACTAATACCGGCTCCCGGGCTCATCATTGCGAGGCGTAAGTACATACTGGAAAAGCTCCGTACGCAGCATGCTGCAGCAGTCTTCCATACTCGAACCCAAAGCCCTCAATGGCCCTGCGGCATCTTTTATGTAACATACTGAGTACGTAGTAGGCAACCATCTCACACCCTGGTGTTTGAAGATACCCTCCGCCCTCCAACGTTCCGACTTCCCCCTGTACACTGGGTATGGACGTGTGGACGATATGATGACGTCACGTTATGTGCAGCACAGCCACGCTGGGTGCCATGAGTGGGTCCGATTTTGGAAAGTCCAAGCCTTGCCTTGGCCACGCTGCCAAGTATCCGCCCTCCAAGCGCCTGCAATATTGCCCTGGCCTCCAACCATGATGGTCTGCCCTCCAAACCTTCTCACGCATGAGGACTGGCCAAGAACTTCCGCACCTGCCCCTCCATACCATCCTTGGAAAAAACCTTACTTGGAGTCAGCTAATCAAGCTTGGTCTCCGGCCTCGCCACGGCCGATGTACCGACTCCACCAGGCTGTGTAGTAGTTCTCTCAATCTGAAAACAAGGTCATGCACCCCTCTTTGCACAGCATTTCCTGACAGAACGAGAGCACACAGGAACACAGGGGAGGAGGGACGTGTGCGGGGGGTGAGATTGTTCCTGAATAGAGGGCGAACATGTCCGTTCGGGGACGTTTCCTGCTAATGGGGATATATATAGGATGTGACACGTTTTGCAGTTTGCATTTAGTGAGTGAGCTCTGGGCAGCTAACGATTCAGAGACAGGGGTACTCTATCTGATGGCATGTTTCCCGAACTTGCTACATTGGAGATGGTAACAGTTCTAAAAGTGACGCCACCCCAAACCGTGGAAGGTAAGTGATCACGATCACAAGCTATCACTGGAGCCTCCTCAGGAGGCTTGCAATGGACACTTAATGGATTCCTTCGATCGCCTGTTGAAGAGAAGAGGGTGTTGATGAAGTATTGCTGCCACAGCTGCGCTGTACAGCAGCAGAGTCCTCTGCGAAGGTAGGGTGTACGCGCGCGCGTGTGTGTGCCGGCTGTGACACTGCACCACCATCGAGTACCTGCACGTTCTGGCTTGCGGCTGCGCACTTGAACAGATTGATGTCGAAATGGGAACGTATGTAGGTGGCTGGACATGTTCCTGCGAAGCCAGGCAGTGACCCCCCCAAGGTTCGAGGACCCATATCGAGGTGGTTGCAACGGAGAGAAAGAAGAAGCTTATGCACGACGTACCCGCGTTTCGTTCAAGAAACGTTCTTCATACCGAATCGAGGTGTTGTGAGTCATGTTGCCGTTGGCCTTGTGCTCATACCGGAGCATAGCTGCCCATCCAGGTTTTTTTCAAGAAGCTGTAGATCCGGACATAGGTGGGTCAAACGAGTTGCGCAACGGTGGACAGCAATGCACATATGACCTGCTGTCTAGACTCTAGACACCAGCTCCCAAGGATCCTCTACGCATCCTATTTGGAGTGTAAGTACCCTCTTTATGACGTCTGTTCCGCATGCTCGACGTACATCCATATCTCAATTGAAATGTGTGAGTTGATCTACATATGTACACGTACACGTACACATGCTCCTTTGCCATATGAAAGCGCGTGGCGTTGTGACGATCCGTATCGATTCGTCACATCCGTTGCCATGTCTTTCGGATTTCAAGGCGAGACGCTGTGTTGCTAGTCCGGTTATTATTTAATGTACATACGTAGGCGCCGTCTGATACACGTACAGAATCTCTATCATAGACCTCTTCGTCTCTATTGTCTTCTTGATCATAATGAGGACAGATCGGGCGCGGTCTTAAGAACACAGGGAAGAAATGAAACTGGGAAGTTCTTCATAGGGGGGGACAGATAGGTTTATATGTACATATACGTACGAAAAAACGTCGAAGTTCGAAGATGGACCGACCATATTCATTCAGTAGTGTTCGAGGCACTTATAACGAGACGAATCGTTCCCGCGTTCCTAACTTCGTTTCTTCCACTTTGGGATCTAGCCACACGGAGAGTAGTAGCGCCTTAGATCTAATACATTCGAACTGCTGCTGCTGCATCGTGGCACGCATGCTCTTGAGCTATACATACATACATACTAAGCACACAGAAAAGCTTCTTTGGTATGGAGAGGACCCCCATCCCTGTGTTTCCATTTCCGCTTAGGTCCACAGACACATGGAAAAGAAAGGAAGGCGTGGCAAGTGTGTGATGTGGTCAGATGCATTTTAGTAGTGGTATGGACGAAGAGGGAAACCTAATCGCAAAAAGGGGTAGTTACTATATACATCGCATCGGACTGCGGCTCAACACGATTGGCTTGCCAGCCATGCTTTGCGTGTGTGTTCCTTGGGATAATCGATAAATCATGCGATTGGAGGAACTCGGGTGATTATGGATAGTCGATGATGCATTCATTGCAATGACGAGATTAGGATTACTACAAGTAGCACTTCCCCATGGTACGCTGACGTGGTCAAAGTACGTGCCTCCCACACACCCAGCTTAGCAACTGCAAAATGCTAATCCGACGTGTACTTCGTGTAACCGTCGGCGAGCAATCCCCTTTTTGAGGTTTGGATGACGGGATGCCCTTGCGTCGCAGTATTTGGAAGGGAGAAGGGTGGGGGTGTGCTCGGGCATGCTGACCCGAGTACCTGCTCCTTGCTCATACACTGAACAAGGGACGAGATCAATATGAAGGGACGCCAGGTCCTTGGCCAAGTTCCTTGATTAACATGCACGCATACGTACACAAGTATTGTGTTCAATCATGGCAGTGTATTACTGGATAGCGGAATCCACAGCAGGTGCTTGGACCAAGGAATGCCGTCAGTTGACGACGACCAACTAACCTTAATCCCACCAGAACGGAACTTGGCAACCACGATAGCAACGGCTCTCCGAAATTCTTGTTTGTACGTACACACATAAAACACCCAGGTACACCCCCCGTATGTATAGGTCGGCCTTGGGACTCCGATCGGAAAGGAATGAACACTCGGACAGAACGTATGTGTACTAGGGGTTAGAGGGAGGAACTACAATCGTCATAGCGTGGCAACCACGCCACATAGCAGACAGGATAGCTGTTAGAGGGAACTGAACACACTCGATCGCAAGGAGCTATATACCACAAAAGTCGTAGAGCGTGGCGTCCACGTAGACGTCTCTAACAGCTAAAGATATCAACCCGGAACCTAACGATCGTGTGGCGCGCGTTCCCAGGAGGCCATTTACACCAGTGAGAAGCGCCGGGAGGTTGGATAGAAAGATAAGATCGGAGAAAAGAGAAGAACACGGAGAAGGTTGGCGGACCGCTTTGCGGCGAAGAGGAGCGCCATTTATGTATCACCACACCTACGATTGTAAGTATATTTATCATTGACACCGGAGATGTGGCGGTGGGTGTATGGGGATTAAACTCGTGGGTCTAGGTCGGAGTGGCATCATAAGGCACTCTCGTCCCATCGATGGGTAGGATACTCTACGATGGGCTTATAGACCGGGTCAAGGGTGTTTGGACGCAAGGAAGGCGCATTGCATCTGATGGCCCGGAAAGGCGGCACGAGTGTTGGGGGGTGTAAGTACATACATCAAGTCTGTCAGGATACGAGAGCAGGAGATATCGCTGATATCGGAACGTGTTGGGGTGGGGATGGTACTGATGAGATGAGTCACCTGGTTTCCGGACAATCAACACAACGCCTCGCTGCACAGCAAATCGCGTTCGACGAGTCATCAAAACGAAAGAGGTGCTGTGTCAGCAGAGACGTAGGTACGTTAGTCACTAACTGGAAATGTGATGACAGATACGAGAGGAGGAGGAAGAAGCCGAGCGTATGTTCTTTATAAAATGAGCGAGGAATAGTCCCGTAGACGGGAACCCATGCACTGCAGAACTTCCAGATGAGTTGCCGGGGGACGCTATTAATAAACGCGCGTGAGCTCTTGTTTTTCCATTCGTCCGAGATTCGTGATGAGCCAAATGCGTACGGAGGGGCCCATATATAGACAGAGGAGCAGGAAATAGAAAAATATGGCGGTGAGGAGGAGACGCTCGGAGGATGATGAGGTGCGATAGAGGTTGCTGACCGATCACATCGAGCGATGGAGTCAGCCTGACTGAATCATGATGCAAGACGACTGTCATGGACCTGCGAGGGAGTGGTGCCTGATATGGGGAGATGATGAGTGTATCTCCCCACAGTGACGCGAGACGAGAGGGAGGAATCGATCACATGGGGAGAGAGATAAGATAATATTGTTACTGGATGAATGCCGGGTGTGGGTGGAAACGGAGGAGGGGTGATGAGTCAGCAATGACAGTATCTGGCAGAGGGAGTTCCGGATGGGCCGGCAGAGAGAGGATATGGAAGGTAGGAGAGGAGCTGTGCACTCCGTTGAAAGAAGATAATCGAGAGAACCGAAAGACGGGGCAATGCAGACGACTCGAGGCAGGGAACGTGCAAGGGGGAGGACGGAAGGAGGAGAGGGTCGAGGGGGGGGGGTTGCTAATAGGAAATGTGCCGGACTGCCGGGTTGGACAAAGAGAAATGCCGCGTTTTGGATCTGAGATCTGGTGTGCCAGATAAGGAAATGTGCCGAGGGGGGTCGAGAGACCAAATCGGGACTGGATTACTGCATCGGCACGGGCTTGTGTATTGGGAGTTGATATATAATCATCGACCCTTTAGCGGGTGCTGTCCCCCCGTCGCATAATAAACCAGACTCACTCACCCCACTCGATGCGGCTCGTCTCATCAGACTATCCAGACTACTACTCGTCCTCCTCCTCGTCGAGCGTGTCCCCTCCAGCCAGACACAGGCTCATGAGGAAGCGATCCCCGTCCCCGTCCACCCGCCACTCCGACATCGCTCGTCTCCTCGACCCAGCCTATGCCTCTCCGAACTCACATCCGTACAACGGATTCAACACCAACGGCATACGCCATGTTTACGTCGACCATCACGGCGACCTCCACGACCCAGACTTCCGCCACTTCCCCATCATGCACTCCCATCTCACCAGTCACCGCCAGAGGTGGGAAACTTCTTACACAACACCCGCAGACGACGATGACGATGACGACGACGACGACGACGAGTACGAAGAAGAGAAGAGAAGGTCCTCTCTCGAGACACAACGGCGGAGACCGTCGTCGTCTACCGCGTACCACTCCTCGACTATTGCCACTGCGGCACACGCCTATCCTCTATATGAGGAACCTTCCTCCTATACCTCGCGACATTTCGCAGAGGACGACGAGGACCTGTTCGAACGCGCCCCTCTCAAGGAAAGGGAGTGGCCATTTTCGACCCGCACTCGCTCGCCGCGTCACAAACCTCTCCGGGATAACACCAATGAAAAGACGGAGCAGGCAGGCGAGGACCCAAATTCGAGAGAAGAGGACTGGACGTGAGTCATTCTTCCTTCCCTCTGTCATTCCATTTGGTTGACCAGAAGAACCCCCATTCCAGACCCAGCTGTACAGACAGTCTGCGTCGACAGTGGCAGGCAATCGCACTCAGTCTGCGATTCAGTCTCTTCAGAACGAAACGCCGTCTCAAGCGACGCATGACTCGCTAAATGAACCTATCTCCAGTGCCCCCTTTCCACATTCCCCTATATTGGCAACCATGTTACTCTATCGCTATCATTGCGCGCGTACTCCACGCCGGCACCATCCTGACGCCTATCGTTTGTATATGCCATATCTTCAGCGCCAGGGCTTTATCGGCAGGGGTGTGCCTGCGTATACGGTCTGTGCCATGCTTGGCGTCCAGTATATCCCCGATTTCTACTTGCCGCGTACATGCATACACTTTTCTCGTCTTTGCCTTTATCACCGCAGACGCCACTCTTGCCGTCTTGGAACGGCTCCCCTCCTCGTCAGCTCCGCTCGACTGCTGGAGCTAAACGCAGATCCACATGGTCGTCGTGGCCATACAGTGTCTCATTCCTATTTCGTTCTCGGTTTTATATTCTTCATGGGCTTTTCTTGCCATGGTTTTCAATTCACAATCATCTTGCATGGACTTTCTCACATTTCATCGCTTCGCTCTCGGATCGTGCATGCATTGCTTTCTCGGCTCGGGTTTTTCCTTTTCTGTTTATTCGCGGCGCAACATGCACAATGATTACTGTTCTTTACAGGCCTTCCTTCTTCGCCTTCTTTTATATGTATTTTCATTATAGACTTCGTCTTTTTGTTCCCTGGCGGGACTCGAGACGGGTCACACGAGGTTAGTTGGACGCAGGAATGATCGAAGGAAGGAGAGAATGGACGAGTAGTAGTAGTATACGATACCACGCCGTGTTATGCATTTAGACGATTTTGACGAATAGCAGATAAGTTTGTTATCGTACGATCGATTACATGCGTACCCATCCATGTGTGTTCGCGTGCCTACATGCCATTGTCATTTCAGTCTGTCATGCAATATTGGTGTCATCTAAGCGTTTTTTCAGACCGTCCCCACTGGGGCAGTGGCATTGGACAACCGTTGTGGACGTCGGTCGAAACGTGCTACGCTCCCAAGTGGTGGGACGCCGCCCGGCCGACAACTTGAACCTGAACGTTCCAGATGGCATACGAACTCTACTGGATTAGTTACTGTGCGAGCCGACCGACCATCGCTTATGATCACGTACTCTGTCGAAATTTTCATTGTAGCCCTCGAACCATCTCGAAAGTGTCAGACCAGCTAAAATTTCGGTGTTTCGTTGTCATTGCTCAGCTGGTTCAGGGATCATCCCTAAAGTTCGAGACGAGACCGTCGACACAGTAGGCTGTGTCAATCATTTTATACTAGTGGAACTCTGTGGATTCAAATACTCGGACTCGGACTCAGACATGACAAGTTGTACACATACATACATGTCTCCATAAGTAGAATGCAGAAAACTGAACAAGTGAACTACCTGTTCGAGGAATCCCAAACGATCTACTTCTTAGTCATTAGGATTAGGACTATCGTAGTAGTATGAGTACTCATTTCCGAGCTATAGAATAATCTTACCGGTCTCGTTTTACAGGGCCGTGGCGCAGTGCGACGTCGGACAGCAGCGGCATTCGACGTTCCAGAAAGGATTGGTACTTGCAGTATTACTTACGAGCACCCATACGCACACACAAACTCAAAATGTCTTTATTCTCACACTAACTAATAGGATTCCTGTACGACGACGAGTTCCGAGGCGGAAGCGTTGCAATGTTGTGGTGGACTACTGCTTTCGATGTTTCTCCAGGGTCAGCAATCGCCGTGAATTATGACGCTGCATCTGTAACATTAACAAACAAAATAAAACAGGCGATTGCGCAACTTTTACAGCACTGCGCAACTTAAAGACAGTGACCCGCAACTTTTGCAGTCATTAATACTTTAAATATATATGGCCTGTGATTTTTTGGGTGGATGGCCACGACACTAGATGTACAACTGTAGGATCACATGTCTATATCATCGCCGAAGAAGGGTTCGTGGATCAAGTACTCTGCCAGTCCCCGAGCTGTGCGGTAAATGAGATCATCTTCGTGCTGAAATGCCTTCCCCTCCTTGACAAGAGCGAGCATCACTCTCCAACACTCGGGGTCGACACTCCCATAGCTAAGACCTTCAAATTGCTTGACCGCAGAGTTGTATGGCTGAGGACTACGACCATCAAGCAAGTACCGGCCCATGCCATTCCACCATACTTGGCGCCAGTCGTCAACACACCTCTTGTGGTCCTGGCAACACGGCGAATGCACCATAGGTGGTGGCTCACATGCCACAATACGGCGGTGGAGTTCGAGTCGCTCCTTGACTCTGAGGAGCGTCATCCATACAGGGACAGTAAGAAGCTCATAATCGGCGTGGTTGAGTTCGTTTATAGGCTTTGGGATGAGCCGTCTGAATGCGTAACAGAAGATGTCCTTGATATGATATTTTAGGGCAATGGAGATCAGTGTGATAGGTTTGATGGTATAGCGGCGAGAGGCGAGTTGCTTGATGGCGTGTTCACGGACGTCCTTGGACTCATACATGCGACTAAGCTCAAGGAGCTGAAGAAGGGTGGTCTCGGATGCCTGTGAAGTATCTGGGCGCCATCTGAAATAACAACATCAATATATAGCATATTTTCAATGGCAGCATACGGATCGACCTACTTGTTGTAGCACACGGACAGAAACAGTTCAAATCCTAGGTCGGAGACTTGATCAGGCACAATAATTGGTTTTTCGTCGCTGTGTCCATCAGTTTGGGGAAGTCCGGTACTGTCTTGTGCAGCAAACATAGACTTAAAGGCGATGGATTTGTCGGAGAGAACACTCTTATGGACTTTGAATAGTGAACTTTGAGCCTGGATGTATTGTAAACAGCCTGATAGATGTTACTACGATGCTAGGTAACTCACCTGGAAGATATGGGTTCCGTCTTCGTAGTAGAACATGTGATGTCGTCGCATGGGCATGGTTTGGGTTTGGTCATCCATCACTTTGCAGAGGGATTGGACTTGCGTCGACGAGCAGGACATGTGGCTGGCTCCGCTGACAGGAGTAAACAAACCACAACAATATTTGCGAAGAGGGCTAAGCCTCGAGATCAACGGTATATTGATGCTGGGGACAAGTGATTACAGGATGTAACTGCGTCGACATGAATGCTGATTAAACGAATGTGGGTGGTACCTCAAAATTCCATAGACATGAATGTGGATTACGGTTAGATGTAAGTGGATGACCATTCATACTCAATAGCATGTTACCTCCAAATCAAAAGTAGTCGGCCGCACCAAGGAAATAATCAGGTGACCACGGATTTACATACGGGTGTAAGAGGGGGGAGTTGACCAGTGATCCAAAGGGATCAAGATCCTGTAAAAATTTGGGGGGCAACGAGACATAGCGATTCACAGTGGCGAGAGGCGCCTGGCCAACGAATGTGGGTGGAGGTGGAGAAACCGAGAGACCCTTCAATTGAGTCGGGAGGTCAGCCACATCCAATAAGTCACTGTCGCCTGATGGGAGAAAAACTGTTGCGGTGTGAGCACATGTCAAAAACAAAGAAATGGGACTTACGTGTTGATGGCCTGATGGATCCACCATGGATGCGAGGAACTTGGGTGCTGGGCGGTGGCTGAGTAGAGTCAGTTGAACTCTCGATCTCGATTACCGGTGATTGATATCGGCCTCGTTTCCCTTTTGGTTGGTCTGCACAGAGGGGAAAATTCAGAGGTCAGCTGTGATTAGAACAGGGTTCTGGTCATCGTACCAGGGTGCTGACTGCGTCCCTGCTTCCGCATCATGGATTCAAATATTGTCCGTTTGTCTTCGGAGTCTTCACTTGAGGCTGCTGGAGGGATGGAGTCGCTACTCTCTCGAAGCTTTGCTGGCTGGAATTCACTACTCTCCTGATGCTGTCTTAGACCCCAAGACGCATATTCCTCTTCCGGGACATGACCGCACAATGCTGTGTTGATATATTAGTAGTTTAACAGGTGGAAGGCATAACTCATACCTATAATTATGCTCGAATCTGTGCCACATTTAAACCGTCCTCGATAGTAGAATAGATCCTGGCCAGTCGGAAGGTCCTCGGTCACTGCGAGTCCGAATCGTTGTTTCTCCTTGAAGGCGAGTTTCCAACAACAGCTCGCCTTACTTTTACCCTTCTTGTGCATAAGTGCATACTCCATCGGACGCGGGAAAACGTGTTCTCTGAGGTACTTGTCGACATCGTCGTGAGTCCAGTCCCGCCGGAATGCGAATTTGGCCGCATTGGCACCAGTGTGCACACACTGCCGATGTTCTGCTGTGTACATTTCTGTTCTCGACAGTGGTTTTGTCTGGATCAATTCACCTGCCTGTATATCTGTGATTAATACTTGTTAGGAGCTAGTTCAATAGCACATACCTCATCCAATGCATTGATCAGTAGTAGCCACGTTCCAACTAAAACATCCTGCTGGGACCCATCATGGTTACCAGATGGGACCCGCTTCCCAGTAGAGTTAGGTTTCTGTGATCATCAATATTGGAGTATGGACACTGGCTTAGGAAGTGGTCCAACGCACCTTAATTTTAGTTGATGTAACTCGTTGTGTCCCACTGCTACCAGCACGGAATCCTTTCAGGACCTCTTCACGCACATGCTGGAGGGAGTTAGGCAACTCCATAGTGCGAGATGTCTTCCGTTGATGGAACACATCCAAAAGCCGGTTGCCGGTTGCAGGCTCTACCTTTACATCCATAGTCAATTTCGGGGATTTGTTGCTAAATTGTGCTTCCGGGTGATTACTGAAACCATGCGTGCACTCACGACAGTGATAACGTGCATTCTTGTTGGCAGGTGCGGTAAACATCCTGCAACTGCATTGTTTTCCGTTCTCATCGAAATAGCAGCAGAGCCGCTCGTCGACATCTGGCATGGAGGGATTGGACCAACTACCGGCAACGAGAGAAGGAGTGAGTGAAGACTGAAGCTCGAGGCAGGACTCTGAGTTCTGATGTGTCTGTCTAATGTTGACTAAGCCGGTAGTGTTGTGCTTGTGCTCAACTCGACAACCACTGAATTGACCATGACCATATGTACAGTAAATACATTGCATGTATGACTAGGGGGGGATCAAAAATAACCATCTGCATCGAAGAGAGTTAGAACGGCGAGTGCCTGACACCAGGTTTTTGCCCGTCTTGCCCATATGGGCTCTGCTAATGATACTGTAACAAACCGTGTTCCCTGCCGACCAATTGCGATGTGCTCCTCTGTTGATTCATCACCTTCTGACCCATGATCATCTCCATACCCTGCTGGTGTGATATCTTCAATGACAACGCGGTCAAGCACTGACCAAAATTCTGCCTCGTCTTTGACACATGCGAAAGGTGATCCTTTGCCAGGAACTTCCACTGCTTCATGGCGCACTTGCTCCTGGAGGTCAGCTCCAACCCTTCTCAGAATACCATTATGTTCGTTTGTGGCAATTTCTTCGTCATCGGCCTCTGGCTCCTCGTCGGGGCAATGGCCCGCACCCGTTTGGCCATTCCGCCGAACCCGTACATGGCCGTGAACGCCATAATATCGCTCAATAGTGAGGGGATGGATCCCCTCATATTCGTCGTAGTATTCTCCTAGCGTGACATTACTGATAAGCCGTAAATCCTGTGGATATGTCAGTAAAATTGAGTGCGGCCCATCCTTAAAATGATATGCTTCACACACCTGTGGACTTTTATTATTGGTCGTTGGCCCGCTAATTGGATGAAGGTTCCATTCGCACTGGAAGTCCTCACAATCATCATTAATTTCCCGAAGAAAGAGCCTTTGAATGAGCCACAGGTGACTGCTGTCACCAGGATTAAGGCAGTGAAGTCTTTCACACCGAGAAAAAAATCCCCGCCAGCGGCGTACAAATTGAGTTCCAACTTCGACCCACACGCGTTCAATCCTCGAGTTTCGGGTAGACCTGTAGTACATGACATCAAAAAGACAGCCATTGGCGCGTAGTTGTGACTTACGATCCCCACATAAATGATCCACGGTTGGGACCTCGGACAGCTACCATGTATGTAGCCACGTCGATATTTTCACCACCACGATCACCTCTCATACGTGATGGCATTCCATACTCTGCCTGTGCATTGAGGAATACATTGAAAACGGTTGATGCGAGGTTGTCTGTACTGGCACATAAACCAGTAATCTGTTGAAAGCGTAAGGTCAATCAAACATGTCAGTAAGCGCTGCGACACACCGTTCGACAGTAACCATCAATAATTCCATGGACCACAAATCCCCATCGGATGAGTTTGTGGTGTCCGTCAATGTGCCAGAGCGCATTTGACCTCTTGACACGATACACCCTGCGTTTTATAACACGATGTTCACGTAACCGCTGACCTAGTCTATCAACGCGAGACAATGACTGCCATATTCGTTTTTGTTGGACTCGAATCCCATGATGGCGTAAGTGTCCGAGTAAATAGCGGAATCCAGACTCTGGTTTGTGTTTCTTGAACGCCCTCACAACTACATCCAAGTCATCGTTGCTCAATACGGTGTAGCTCCGCTTCAGGCCATGTTTCCGCATAGTTCGCCAGAGTGTCATGCGGCTAATGCCTAGGATGCGAGCAAGTTCACTGAGACTGATGTGACGGCTATTATCGGTGACAACCTCAGTAAGGAAGTCAGGGCATACAGACTTCTGAGGCCGTCCGCGCCGACCATTCTTGGACTCCGTTACAAGCTCAGGTATACTAACCTCTCGCCATTCACTTGAAAAGAAGTCAAGCGCCATTCACCGACAGAAAATCGGACATACAACATATTAACAACCTGTGCCACGTCCCGAAGATCTTGCACTGCCTGCCCAATGAGCCTTGCGACACCCACCAACCACTCCTGAGGCAGAGATTCATCCTCATGACTAGCACCACTAGGGATAAGTGCTTCGAGGATGGGAAGTGCAGTTGAAGTGAGTGCGTCTATGTGGAATGAAACCCGAGTGGGATCCGGAAAACTATCAGATCGCAGGACATAAAGAGCTTGATCGTACACTTTCTTGATGGTTCCATGAGCGGTCTGGATATTAGCTGGCCATCTACCAAGGCTGGGCTGTGGAAGGGGCAGGAACGCTAGCTGGGCGATGGAGCTCATGTCCACGGCATCGACATTGCTGGTGTGTCGCCACTGTCTCAGTAGTGCGACACCATTTCCCACGGTCACGGGCCCACAGGTGCGGACTTACCTTGCACTAGAATCAGCTCCACTGCCCTCGTCGTCGTGAATCCATGCAAGACTACCAACGATGCAAGTGCCAAGGAGCCCGAGGAAGACGGATATACCGCAACACGACTTGCTATGTACCAACTACCAGTGCGAGTGCGGGCACCTGCGGTCGACATTGGATTCCCATATCATATTTTCGTCGAAACCACCACCGACACAGCCCATCGCATGACAAGACGAATACTACAGCCATGAACATGTTTCAATTTGATGCCTCTTCGTACTCATTTTATCACCTGCTTTTTCGCTTGCCCGGAGTTGCCCCCATCCTCGTCCGGCTTGAAGACCAAGATACAGAAATTCACTGCTCTTGCCCTTCACCGCACCAAGCTCCATCCATTGGTCCACTCGCCACCAGAACTGTCTTCACATTTAAGCGCTTGATCGGCCGCAAGTTCAAGGACGTGGAGGTCCAGGAGGACATGAAGCACTGGTTAGTACATGCGACAATTGTTAAATAGGAAAGCATCTTATATCATCTGCAGGGTGTTCAAGATGCTCGACCAGCTGTCGAGGTTGACATCGGTGGCGAGAGACAACAATTCGTATGCCTTTTCACCCCTCTGGATCAGTAAGAGAACTAATATACTTTCTAGAGTGCTGAGGAGTTATCGTCCATGGTACTTACCAAGATGCGTGAGACCGCCAGGCAGTATCTCAACAAGAAAGTCAAGTAAGTTGCGCGTATACTAGTTAGGAGTCCCCCAGTGTTGACTACTATTATTAGTCATGCGGTCATTACGGTCCCCGCATACTTTAACGATGCGCAACGGCAGGCCACCAAGGACGCTGGTCAAATCACTGGCCTTGAGGTTCTTCGAGTCATCAACGAGCCGGCGGCCGCGGCACTGGCATATGGCCTTGATCGTACCGAATCATCAGTGATTGCCATGTACGATCTTGGCGGTGGTACTTTTGATATCTCCATCCTGGAGATGCACAAAGGAGTCTTCAAGGTCAAGTCCACCAATGGAGACACCCACTTTGGTGGCGAGGACTTTGACATCGCTCTTGTTACCCACATCCTCAACGAATTCAAGAAAGAGTCGAGCATTGACCTCAATCAAGACTGCATGGCCATTCAGCGCATTCGTGAGGCTGCCGAAAAGGCCAAGATTGAATTATCATCCACGACGCAGACCGAAATTAACTTGCCATTCATCACCACGGACGCAACCGGTCCAAAGTACATCAACTTGAAGTTGAACCGCACTCAATTTGAGACCCTTACCGGCCCTCTGATCCAACGTACCGTTGATCCCTGCAAGAAAGCGTTGTCCGATGCTGGAGTCAAGTCTAGTGAGGTGAACGAAGTCTTCCTCGTTGGTGGTATGACCCGCATGCCTAAGGTCGGTGAGTCCGTGAAGTCGATCTTCAGTCGTGAGCCGAGTAAAGGTGTCGATCCTGATGAAGCCGTTGCCATTAGTGCTGCTATCCAGGGTGGTGTTCTCGCCGGAAATGTCACCGACATTCTACTTCTCGACATCACCCCACTCTCCCTCGGCATTGAGACTTTCGATGGTATCATGACAAAACTCATCAACCGCAGTACGACCATCCCAACGAAGAAGTCGCAAGTTTTCTCTACCGCTGCCGATGGCCAGACCGCCATTGAGGACAAGATTTTCCAGGGTGAACGTGAACTCGTCAGGGACAACAAACTCCTTGACAACTTCAATCTCGTCGGTATTCCGGCCCCGAAGGGCGTCTCTCAAATTGAGATCACTTTCGACATCGATGCTGGTATGTCTTTTATACAGGTCTTCAGATAATTTCCTCATCCCTTGTAGATGATATCGTCCACGTCACCGCCAAGGATAAGGCAACCAACAAGGATCAGTCTATGACGATCGCGTCTTTGTCAGGTCTGAGCGACAAGGACATTGAGTGCATGATCTCTGACGCTGAGAAGTATGCCGATGTGGATAAGGCCCGTTGGGAACTCATCGAGGAAGCAAACAAGGGCGAGTCAGTCTGTGTCGACACAGAGAAGGGTACGTATTTACTACATGGTGCTTCACTTTCCCGCATTGATTCGCACCTGTGATAGCAATGAACGAGTTCAAGGAGCAGCTTGATGCTGCCGAGAGGGAGAAGGTGTCGAAACTCGCTGGCGAACTTAGTGAATTGGCCTCGAAAGGCCTCCCGGCGATGCTTCTGTCACTGCCGAG